CCACACCACACCACACACCACACACCCCACCACACCACACCACACCACACCACACACCACACACCCCACCACACCACACCACACACCACACACCACACCACACACCACACCACACCACACCACACCACACCACACACCACACACCCCACCACACCACACCACACCACACCACACCACATCACACCACACCATACCAACCACACCATAAAACACTACACAACACCACACTATACCACACCATACCACACCACACCACCACACACCACACCACACCACACCACACACACCACACACCACACCACACCACACCACACACCACCACACCACACACCACACCACACCACCACACCACACCACACCACACCACACCACACCACACACCACACCACACACCACACACCACACCACACCACACACCACACCACACACACCACACACCACACACCACCACACCACACACACCACACCACACACCACACCACACCACACACACACACACATACACACACACACACACACACACCACACACACACCACACACACACACCACACCATACCACACCACACCACCACACCACACAACACCACACCACACCACACCACACCATATCACACCACACCACACCACACCGACCACACCACACCAACCACGCCACACCACACCACACCACACCACATCACACCACACCATACCAACCACACCATACAACACTACACAACACCACACTATACCACACCATACCACACCACACCATATCACACCACACCACATCACACTACACCACTACACACCATACCACACCACACCAACCACACCATACCACACCATACCACACCAAACCACACCAAACCACACCACACCACACCACACCACACCACACCACACCAACCACACCACACCACACCACACCACACCATATCACACCATACCACTACACACCATACCACACCACACCATACCACACCATACCACACCACACCACACCAACCACACCATACAACACCACACCAACCACACCACACCATATCACACCACACCACACCATACCACACCACACCATACCACACCATACCACACCAAACCACACCACACCAACCACACCACACCACACAAAACCATACCACACCACACCAACCACACCACACCACACCATACCACACCACACAACACCACACTATACCACACCAACCACACCACACCACACAAAACCATACCACACCACACCAACCACACCACACAACACCACACCACACCACACCAACCACACCACACCACACCACTCCATACCACACCATACCACACCAAACCACACCAAACCACACCACACCAACCACACCACAGCACACCACACAAAACCATACCACACCACACCATATCACACCATACCACTACACACCATACCACACCACACCATACCACACCACACCACACCAACCACACCATACAACACCACACCACACCAACCACACCACACCATATCACACCACACCACACCATACCACACCACACCATACCACACCATACCACACCAAACCACACCACACCAACCACACTACACCACACAAAACCATACCACACCACACCAACCACACCACACCACACCATACCACACCACACCACACCACACAACACCACACTATACCACACCATACCACACCACACCACACCATACCACACCATATCACACCACACCAACCACACAACACCACACCACACCACACAAAACCATACCACACCAACCACACCACACCATGCCACACCATACCACATCACACCACACCACACCAACCACACCACACCATACCACACCACACCATATCACACCATACCACTACACACCATACCACACCACACCATACCATACCTACCATACCACACCACACCACACCACACCACACCAACCATACCATACCACACCACACCATATCACACCACACAACACCATACCATACCACACCAACCACACCACACCTTACCACACCACCCACACCACACCACACCATATCACACCACACCACACAAACCACACCACACGATACCACACCACACCAACCACACCACACCACACCATACCACACCACACCACACCACACCATATCACACCATACCACTACACACCATACCACACCACACCACACCACACCATATCACACCACACCACACCATACCACACCACACCTTACCACACCACACCAACCACACCACACCATGTCACACCACACCACACCAACCACACCACACCACACCATATCACACCACACCAACCACACCGTACCACACCATACCACACCATATCAATACCATGTTAATATCCATCTCTATCCTACGGCTACCTAATCATGTCTTACTTTGTCCTTGATACACTTACCATTGGCAATTAATTTTCCTTTCAATAACGTTTTTGTATTTCAGAACAGTTTTGAGCTACGGACCTTTTTTATAAATAATTATATAAAAGGTTTTTAATGAGTTTTCATTTCATGTGAGATTTTTATGAATCGAATCTAAGATTTTTTCGAGTCTAATCACGATCCCTATACACGAGACAAAATTAAAACTCGAGAAGAGCTTCATAAAATCCCATTGGAAATGAAAACAAAATTAAGATACTTTTTAATCATATAATTCAGAAAAACTAAATTTGGCAAGATAGGACGGAGGCAGCCAATTTGTTGCTCTATTTTTAATCCATGGTGTTATGTCTTTGTCCACATTATGACATAACAATTAATTTCTGATTGGCATAACCGATGGAATACAATCCAGGGTACATTACAGTAGTGACGTATACACAAAGGTGTGACATAGGTGTACTCACTGGATACCCTGGTAATGTGATGGCAGTATTTTATCCCTAGTTATGTGACAGACATCGGCGTTCCAGATATCCGTTACAGCAATAATAAAATTCATGCCAAGAGCATAAACACCATTTTGTAACGTCATATAGGTGAGTAAGTCACGTATCCCCGCTTCTTCATATAACCAGGATTTTAAAAAGTATGTACGTAGAGAGAAATTTAGCTCATTGTAGGGCTAAACGGAACTCACTTAACAAAATCCAGTTAGCATTATACTGTAGAAGAAAGGGAAAATCTCAAATATGTGTTGGGATGGACAAACTAGGACGTAAAAAATCCAAACTTTGGTCATCATAAATTCTATATTTCGAGAAAAATAAAGCTCAACCCAGAAAAATTTAACACAGCGTAATTAGTTGACAGAATCCAATTAGCAGGAAGCTGTAAGTGATAATAAGAATATGAAATGTGTGTCACTTACCATATATAGACATGAATGTATTCCAGGTTTGGTTATGCCAGCTTAGATACTTTGAGAGAAAGAAAGCTCAACACAGAGCTAAACACAATATTTGAACATGTCCCATTTAATTCAGTCCAATTAACAGTTAGCCGTAGCTGACAATTAGGATTTGGAATTTGTTTGTTGTGGTTATAAATAAAATATATTACAGGTTTCCCTATCATACCTTATATAGAGATAAATTGAGCTCAAACTGGAGTTAAACCCTGGCCTTTAACATAGCAAAATTAATTGGCAAAGTAAATTGATTGTTAGCTATATCCTAAAAGCTAAATTGAAATGTATTAAGATTACAAGTGCTATCATATGTATTAGTAAATGTTTTCAATTTAGCTTTTAGGGTATAGTTACATTTACTAATACATATGATAGCACTTGTAATTTTAATACATCTTTGTGTCAGTTACTACCATATGGTTTTCTCTTATTTGGTAAATAAAAACAGTTATGTAAGCAATCCTTACCAAATAATAGCATAAAGTGATGTACAATACCACCTAAAATAATCTGTTTAAAATAGCGTCGTCTTGTTGTCAAGATGAACATCAAACTATCTGATATCAAAGAGCGCCTCCTATTTCTTTATTTTTGTTTACACACAGCATTATCTAATTTTAATTTAAGTTTTTCCCTCATACATTTAAAAATAAGAATACAATGGTTTCCATTGAATAACATTTATATATATATACATATCTCACTAGTATGGAAGAATGTACAAAGCATATATAATATTTAACAGGATACAATTAAATATCGTCTATTTATTGAACAATTTGGAATTGCCGCTGCCAGAAAAGTAACGCCTGTCTCGCTTGGCGTCTGCGTCGCACGCGAGACAAAAATCGTCTTTCTGACATAGGTTGCATGTCTATTACCAAGACGATCATTGACGTTTCCTAAACTACAAAGTGGCTTAGAAAATTTCTTTTATCCGAAATTAAACTCTTATTTAAAATGCCAGTTTCAATGAAAGATAATCAGTTAACTAGGCATTGACTATGCATGTGCATTTCTGTTACAATACAATTACACATTTGATTCCCCTGCGCACTTTCATAATGTTGTCGGCAAGAATTTTACATTTTTCTTTAAACTTGAAGTCCTGAAAGAATTAAATTCAAGTTATGAATTGTTTAATATTTTTTGTCAAATTGGTTACAGTCGAGTGCTTCCTTGCTAACTTCAAAGCAACTTTCTTGATAACATGCAATTCATTATGTAATTTCCAATAGAAAAGACGTGTCGATTTTAATGTCATAGAATCAATTAACTCTTCAAAGAAAAGTCTTTTATTCGTATATTTTTTGAAAAAATCTCTGAAATATGAACTCCGAAAAACACAAAATCGCATCCCTCGCAATTTCTCGTCATTCCACGCCCACTCAGTTGACAGACAGGTAATGTATGCACACTATGCTATTTACTATTCACACATTCTCATTACTTATGCACACTCAAGCAAATACTCGATGTTGATTGGTCAAGTGGCGTGTGAATTGTGCATAACTAATGACTCCACGTGGGGTTCTTGAGTCGATTGCCAGCTGTTGAGTTGACCAATCACTCGCGCCCAAATATGGCAAATGTATTTGCCTCCTGCTTTTGTTATTTGCGGAATAATAACGCGTGTTGAATTATACTGTGTGTGGCATTTTACAAGGCAGTTCACACGGGCACATACACATAGAGGTTCAGACTGTACACTCGGAAGGAATTTTACATCATATATCGTCAAAATACCCGGATTTTCATCGTCAAGTTGTGGTTCAAGTTGTTCTCAAGACTGTACCCGGTTTTAGGGTTCGTGTGGATGTTATACACTAAGGAATTATTTGATGGATTACCGATAAATGCAGATTCGCGGGTCGACCTCGAGCCGAGCTGTGCTGTAGCGACTGGTCGATGTACACACCATACACACCTCGTTTCCCTATGTTTTTGCTTGTGTAGATTGATTCTTGTGTGGAATTATATGAACAGTACAGTCTAAATGAAGACTGGTGTAATTTTTGGGATATAATTTATACAAACGAACCCAGCGATGTATCCTAATCGTCATCCGGTAAGTGGATCCACTGCGTTGTTAACACAGCGTAGCACGTTTTTCGCTTTCTGTTTACTTGCGTCTTCTCTTTGTTCATGAATGGCGGGTCTAGCCCTGCCTCGGCGCGCTCGAGGACCCTAGGCTGACTTCTTATATATATATTTCCTACCCATTGTGACCTCGTTTTTGTTTTCATTTTTCTTATTATCGTGTACTGTTGTTTCAGACGCCGCACCAACCCGGCCAACCGTTTAAATTTACGGTGGCGGAATCGTGCGATCGAATAAAAGAGGAATTCAGCTTTCTACAAGCCCAATATCACAGGTACCCCTACAATTTAATTTGTTATTGTCGATTTTGTAAGTTGGCGTATATCTCGTTTCTATGACTATGCGTTCTGCGTTTAACTGGGAATCAACAACATTATCACAGGCCATACATAAATGACACTTAGCCACGTAACAAAAATTAGGTCAAATTGAAAAAGTAATTTTAATGTTTGTAGATAGATCATCAGAAGGGGTCGGTGTAGCTTAATATTGTTGTTTTGTTTTCTCGTTCAGTTTAAAAATGGAATGCGAGAAACTGGCTCAGGAAAAGACAGAAATGCAACGACACTATGTTATGGTAAGTTCACACGCAGTCAGCCGTGACCCTGTTAAGAATATTTTAACGATTTCGCTTTGATCTAGACTAGAGAAAATCGCTACTCTGATGGCTGTAAAAAGTCTAGATAAGATTTTATACAAATTATCTAACAGCATTTTTAATAGTGTCTTTTAACACGGAGGAAGTATTCTACAACATAAATGACGAGGACATGACCAAGTATACAACCAGACGGTCGAAACGCCTGAAAAATAAAATTATTTTATGAAAGGTAACTTGTGTATTGTCCATGTAGATTGCGCGTGTAAAACTTGGCTGCATAGTGGAGGCACGTTTAGTAAATTGATTCGTTCTAATTGAATTAATTTTAGTCCCCTGTGATATCGCTAGGGTCATGCCCTGTTAACTGGCTGTAACCTGAAGTGATGTGAGTCATACACATTCTAGGAGTGATGTGTTTAATTTTACACACAGAAAAATCACTGTGGACCCGGCAAGCTAGACTTAAGCTGAATTACATACAATACAGGTACACAGGGGCTAGCTAATGTATCCCTTATAGCTAGCTCATGGTTATGTAATTGCTTGGTGCTAGCCGACTACCAGGATAGATAAATGTTTCAAGTTTCACTACCCTGTTTGTTATTATGGTATAATTTTTAAGATCAAGAGCAATTTCTGTTGGCAATGAAAAACAATGTAGAAAATTACCTGCACTAATTCTAATGTTTAGACAAAAACGCACCAGAACATTGGTTTGGCCTTATTCAAGAATTACAGCAAACATTAATATTGATCGTTAAATTCATCGCTATGTTGAACAGATCAATGATGTCCGCCTATTAAAAAACTTCTTTTTAATTGATCAATAAAATTTTAATGTATGCTAATTATAAAGTGTATTATTATTTATTTTGCAGTATTACGAGATGTCGTATGGATTAAATGTGGAAATGCATAAACAGGTGAGTTGTATGAAGATAACTAATCGGTAGAGGTTTCACAGGTGTAACGTACACAGGTAAACAGAGATACTAAGTTGCTGCATAAATAGACTGAATAACCAAAGGTGATACACATTTTTTTGCTGATAAGGGCTCCCCCATACAAACTAATCGTCATCTAGGTATGCAGTGGGTCACATGATCTAGGTATACACTTGATAACATTGTGGGGTAATGTGATCTCTAAATGACTGCACTTAGCGTTTTGTAACTAGTCGAGTTAGGGCTGTTTTATCAGTATTTGAGCACAGAGTTGAGGAAACCAGAGATTTTAACCCCCTCCGCTTCAAATCAAAAAAAGACTCGTTTAATCCCAAACAGGTTTATGGAGACTTCTAGAATTATTATAAATCAAAGAGATTTAGAACCCACCTATGAGGACTGAAAGTGTGATAAAATTTTCAGAGGGATTTTGCAGATGCTGTTGTGTAGGGGTCCCTAAGGGTTTCAAACGTTGGCTCCTCCCATATTTCAATACTGCCCTTTGTGTGTCTTGACAGGAGATCACACAATGGACTCTGTTCTCTTGGGGACAGACCTCGTTTTTTTGTGAGGGTGTGTCACTTTTTTTTTTATTTGTAAAGAGGTGATGAAACTCCTGCTGGCTTGCTGTGAGTCACATGTTTCAGAAAAATCTCCAGACAACATACACATGTATATATATATACCAGAGAAAGAGATAATTTTTCTCCTATCTTGCCTGTGATTACATGGAGGTATTTGTGTGTAATGGATAGGCCTGACTTCTGACTGTGGAATAGCTGTAGATCTCTTGTACAAGTGTAATTGGGCTGTGATAAGTTTTTCAATATCTTGAGGAGGTGTGGCCTAAACCACTGGGAGGCGGAGCTACAGTCTGAGTGCTTGATACAGGAAATTTGTACACAAACTTGCTATGCTGTCTTCATCAATCAATATACAGGGTCCAGGCAGCATAAAGCTGGACATTTGAGAGGGTAAGCTGGTAGATCTGTCTGTGAAGTGGGTTCTGAAACACAGCTGGTGCCCACATACCTCAGGATAACAGACACTTATTTACATGACTATTACTGTAGAAAATTTACAAGGGTGCTTACAGCGGAAACATCAATGCTTACAGAATATTTTTCTGTTGCCTTAAACTCATTTACAATAGAAGTTTACAAAAGACACCCACATGTGAACAGCAGTACTTATAGATATGATTCTGTAATTAACAACTATACTGTATACTGAATGATCAAACAATTTCATAAAACTGTTCTGCATATATAGAAATTTCTTTGCTTTGAAGGAAGACTTTTTAACTAGCTTGAGATCACTGCTTCTAGATCAGTCACTAATTTTAGTGACAAAAACTTGGAATTTCCCATTAACGTTACAGCTTCGTCATTAAAAATTTGTCAGGATTGTTATGAAAAAAGGAAAAAAATATGATTGTTAGTTCATCATCCTGATGGATAGTCACAATCATTTTATTGGGTAATGTTGTTTATTTCATTATTTATTGAGATAAAGTTGGATTGGAGGTATGTCTGTATATACCTTTATGTAGGAGTTTCTGGTTATTATACAAGATACAATCATGCATAGGCAACCAATAGCAAGACTTTTGAGGTCAAAGAGCCATATGTTATGAAAATGGGGGACAAAATTGCATCCATGTTTTTTTTTGCACTATGAACAAGTCCCACATATGGGGTAATATTCCAGAGAAATTTCTGATATTACTGGTAAGATCTTGGTACTTTGGATCAATAAAACTAATGCAGCTGGAGAGTGTTTAGTCAAAGTCATTCATTAAGCCAGCCTTGTTACTGGCAAGTGCGAACACATCAATTCATTGGCTGGTGTCGTGTCTACTGGGAATTGATGTAGTCAACTGGGCAGTTTCAGGCAGATTGTGCCTTTAATTGGATGTGGATTCATTTCTTAGTGACTTGCAGGAGACATTTGGTGTCAGAGTTGTTGATCAGCAGGGGGTATAGTCAGCTGGACACCTCAGCAGGATTGGACTGGCTAGGAAATTGGTCAGCAATGCCCATCCTGTCCTATTGGACACCCCAGCTGGATCGGGTTGATCTAGAAAGGGTCACTAATTCTTTCCTGTGCTGCTAGATATTCCAACTGGACTGGACTGACCTGAAAAGGGTCAACAATTTTATTGTCCTCCTGGACGCTCCTACTGGATTGGACCGACCAGGAAAGGGTCTGAATGTCAGTGCGCCGCCCCCCCCCCCCTCCTCCACCCCCCCCACCCCCCTCCCACTTTCTCTATACCATCAACCTCTGTCATGGATTGTAAGTAAAAGATATTAAGAGAACTTTATGTCAGTTCGTCATACTTATTCATGATAAATGAGAGACTTGCGATACAATAGACAGATTTTACCAGTCGCTTGAGATTTTCACAGTGGGATAAATATCGTTGTATCTCTTCCAAAAACTACTTCATTTGTTCAAGGACCCAAGGGCTGATCAGAGACGCCTTTTCTTTTAAAATTTTCAGGAAAACTGTATGAAATGATGGAAAAGTAAAAGGTAGACCATTTTACCATATCTACAACTGGCCAGAGATTTTCAATTGGTTTTTGATATCGCCTGAAATAGGGAACTTACTGGCTCTAACATATTGATTTTCGATGACATTTTGACAAGACACTGTGTCATATCCTGCTGAACTACAGGCAGGATAACTCTTAATATTGGAGATTGACATAGTGATGCTTGTACAAACATATTAAAAACTTGACCTTTTTCTGTACATTGAAATCGTTTAAAGCTTTTTTCTTCAACTTTATATTGATGAATTGGAGAAGGCATTTTGTTAGACAAGTATCATGAAACCATGCTCATAACTGTGTATGTTCCTGGTCTTTGAGCAATCAACGAAAACAATGTAGATCATTTGTGAAAAATGTTAAAAGAAATAAAACTTTATGAGTGAATCGATGAATGCTTACAAGTGAATGGCTCACAACAATAACTCGACAAGCCCAGACGGCCAAACCAAAGACCTAAAGTGTGATGGTGATAGGCCCATTGCAGGACAATGGAATAGCTTTTGTTGGCAAATTTGTTTAAATACTTATGGGTGGGCTTATTACCAAGCATGGGCTCATTGCTGAGTTGATACACTGAAGGCTGCGATGTAAGTAACAACTATAAATAAGAAGTACTCTGACATCCATACAAATTTTTTTCTGTAAAAAGAGCGTTGGAAATTTTAGGTACAGTATAGTGGAACTTTATTGTATTTGTTATCGGTAGATTCCACAGGGATTTCATTGTTCATCCATTTGTGTGTATTTAGATGGATCTACGTGGGCCCGATTTGTTTGTTCCTGCGCTGGATTAGCTGTATCAGTGTGCATAGTGTGTATAGCATTAGGATACATGTCAAAGTCATTCCATTAGGAGTATTGATTCTAGAGCATGGCTTCCATCCAACCTATTTCATTTTATTTCTGGAAAAAAAACACTTCTTACAGAATAAATCAACTGTTTTTGATTGAACAGGCATTAAAAACCCAATTCTCAAAGATCACATTTTCAACCACTGTTAGAAGAATGAGCTATATAAAACTTGTACGTTTCCACTGAAAGTCTTGACTTGATCAAAGCTACATCCATTTAACCATTACCCAAGGGTTAATGAAAATGTTTTGAAATTCAATGCAAGTAGCTTGTAGGTCTCCCTGAAGGAGGTAATGCAAACCATTCCAGTATTTGATTAAGATGGCTGACTGTGCTGTTAGTCCATTTAAGACATTGCAACCTAAACGTCGCTACGCATAAAGAAGAACATAAAAATCAATACAAGGAAATAGATTCCTCCATTTTACCGGAATTGATAATCTTTTAGAGCAAATACGATTTCCATGGAAACCTAGCCCCTAAGAGGTGGCTTGTATGACAGGTCGCTAGGCCATAGATTGCGAGCCAGCCAGCTTGCATTTTTTGGTCAATAACTTTATTTAATGAAAGTTGTAATGGAAAATCGATAAGAATTTTATAGCTAATATCTGAATAAACTAGCTCTCGGCCGACATGGCATTGTTGACTGGAATGTGGGCAAACACTCAAGGGGTAAGAAGGCCAGATAGACTGCAATCAATAGACTAAGAAAACAAAGGTGGCCCTCTTATCTGGTTGTAAACTTTCAGATCTAGTATGTGTGCTGTGTCAACATGGTGATGCAGACGCTACTAGTAATCCCCTTTAGGGCTCCGAGAGGAAATATAAGGGTGTCAATATAACACCCTTTCACTATTTACATTTCAACTGTTTGCTGAAAGATAATAACTTTTTTTTTTTTTTTTACAAATGTTTGGGTTTTTTTAATGTAAATATTTCTAGATGTAATCTCACTATTGCTTGAATCTGATAAATGGTTTAAAAGCAGATTTTAAGTCATTTGCCTGAAGCCTTTCCAAAAAAAGATAAACAGCCTTCAAGGACTGGCAGCAAGTCTGAATAAGGGAGGTTATGCTCACTGGTGGTATGGTTTAAATTGAAAATATTGAGAGAAGTTAGGTTTTTACTAAAGGTGATGAGTAGGGAGTGGTTGAAACAGTTTGAAATCTAGTTTTATTTCTTAATTACCTACTTACTGAACTCCGTTTTGTCAGTTACGAATTATAGTAGGGTAATATGGTAATTGAAAATGCACATACTGTAATCATGCATACTAAATACATATTTAGTCTTTTTTTTCTAATTACTTAATTACCGTAGTGTATATATATACTTGCTGTCTTACCTGAAGGATCCCATTACTTAACTATCAGCTTGGCATGCAGACTGACTTGAGTTAACGACCTTAATTACCCTGGAAATTTTAGAGGCCATACCAATCACATGATCTTATTTTCGGATGTTTAGACTGGGATTTGATTTCTGTTTCAGAATAAAATTTCAATCGGAATAAAATTTGGTAAATATTGAAGGCATTACTTAGAAGTTAATTTTTCAACGACGTCTTGTATAAATATACGGGAAAAAGGTAGGAAGTATGCAAATGAAATTATACAACTTGGGCTAATTTTTCATCTAACCAGTTTTGCATTGTTGCATATATGGAACTTAATTGCCATTAATCTTGGTCATAAATATGCATGTTTAATGGCTTCGTGATACGGTGATAATTCCTTGTGGTTAAGCCATGAATTATTACATACCATTAGTAATGCCAGTACTTCCTTATAGTTTCACCACACCAAACCAGGCATATATTGTTTTCCTTTTTGCTCTCGTCAAATTGGTATGTGCCACAAAAAGACCTAGACAGAATTAAGTACAGCCTGAATAATTCTTGACAGAACTGAGTACAGCCTTATCAAACCTTGATGGAAACAAGGGTAGTGGCATCAACAAAACCTTGATAGAAACAAGAAAAGTACCAATAAATAGTCTCTACAAACACAGACACAAGGACAGGATAGTGGGTCTCTACAAACACAGGCACAAGGACAGGATAGTGGGTCTCTACAAACACAGACACAAGGACAGGATAGTGGGTCTCTACAAACATAGACACAAGGACAGGATAGTGGGTCTCTACAAACACAGACACAAGGACAGGATAGTGGGTCTCTACAAACACAGACACAAGGACAGGATAGTGGGTCTCTACAAACACAGGCACAAGGACAGGATAGTAGGTCTCTACAAACACAGACACAAGGACAGGATAGTGGGTCTCTACAAACACAGACACAAGGACAGGATAGTGGGACTCTACAAACATAGACACAAGGACAGGATAATGGGTCTCTACAAACATAGACACAAGGACAGGATAAAGGACAGGATAGTGGGTCTCTACAAACACAGACACAAGGACAGGATAGTGGGTCTCTACAAACACAGACACAAGTACAGGATAGTGGGTCGCTACAAACATAGACACAAGGACAGGATAGTGGGTCTCTACAAACACAGACACAAGTACAGGATAGTGGGTCTCTACAAACACAGACACAAGTACAGGATAGTGGGTCGCTACAAACATAGACACAAGGACAGGATAGTGGGTCGCTACAAACACAGACACAAGGACAGGATAGTGGGTCTCTACAAACACAGACACAAGGACAGGATAGTGGGTCTTTACAAACATAGACACAAGTACAGGATAGTGGGTCGCTACAAACACAGACACAAGGACAGGATAGTGGGTCTTTACAAACATAGACACAAGGACAAGATAGTGGGTCGCTACAAACATAGACACAAGTACAGGATAGTGGTTCTCTACAAACATAGACACAAGGACAGGATAGTGGGTCTCTACAAACATAGACACAAGTACAGGATAGTGGTTCTCTACAAACACAGACACAAGGACAGGATAGTGGGTCTCTACAAACATAGACACAAGGACAGGATAGTGGGTCTCTACAAAGAACAAGGATTCAGAAACTTTCCTGAAGAACTTGGACTTTCCTCAGTAATTTCAGCCTCGGTGAAGTAAAAGTTGGACGAGATGTTATCTTGTTAAGTACTGTAATATCGTTTGTTATGCATGGTTTTAGTCGTGTTCCCATGAACACACCACTTCAGAGTAACTTGGAAAATTAATATAAAAACAGCCGGAAATTTCTCAAGTAGCAAATGAAATTAGAACTAGATAGTGATGATGTGTACTTATGATTATGTTTTAAAGAAACTCACGAAATGATCCACACTTGGCTTTTCCATTTCAATGGTGATATTTGATAGAGTATCGGAAACAGGACACAACATGACTTTTATGTCCCTTTCACACAATCTCATGAAATAAAAGTATCATGGGTTCTGGGAAGGATTTTGTTTTTACCTCAATTCCAGTAAAAGTTGATGGGGGAGAGATTGTGAGTGGGAGGAGGAGGGAGGGAGGGAGTGGGAGGTTGGGGGTCCCTGCAATGCCATAACATTGAATTGATATCTGTATTGATTTAGGTAGAATATGATTATTATGATCACTTGATCTAACCCTCATTTCACTTGTCAGTATCAATGCAATCTTTGGATCGAAATATTACCTGTAATTTCAGTGTATTTAGATTTTTTTGTTTTCTTGTATTTTTCAGACTGAAATTGCCAAGAGGCTGAATGCTATCTGTGCTCAGGTCATTCCATTTCTTTCTCAGGAGGTAAGTTATCATGCTCAGATTTTCTACCTAAAAATATAGAGAAAGATATGTGAGGTTTTGATCTATTAAAAAGAATGAAGGCTGCAGATGTGTGTTATATTTGATACAAAAGTAGACTTGGGCAGACTGATATAATTATGAATCATGTTTTAAAATGCCTGATTAGTGGACAAATTATTGAAGTTTGTTCTGTATATGATCAATGGCGGTGCTAGATGGAGACCCTTGAGATTATTGGGGGTTGATGATGAGGAGCAGGTGCTTGGTTCTGTGGCTGGTTAATGGCAAGGCAAAATCTGTCCAGACCAATTCATGTCCCTTCCCCTAGACATCCAATCTAGTAACCCCTCCTCATCCCAGACGTGTCCAATTAGACTTATCACCCACCGTAATTACTTAGGAATGCTATATGGGGTACAATGTTATAGTGGATAGCAATATGTAAATTTGTTTTGGTGCTAGCTACGTTAAAAGACATATTGAGTAACTTAGTAATAAAGGGTTATTTGGGGAGGGAGGGGGGAGGTTAGAAGGGTTAGAAAACAGATGGGTGGGGCATGTTGAGTTATAGTGAGGGTAGAAGGGTCAAACAGAAATACATCACAGAGGATGGTTTAATAAAGCTGTGAGAAATGATCATTGGAGGTTGGGAGGAGGGAAGTAGGAACTTCAGCCTACAGATATGATAATCTGGCTCTTTGTCTTTATGTTGTAAATCTACGTTATTAATTGAAATGTTCATAACAGGTTGTTTACAAAATAAATCATCATCTGTGATATATTTGTCATTGATGTTAGTAAAATTTAGTTTAAATGTTTCCTTCTGGGATCACAGCTGGGCATTTTGGAAAGAACTGAACATGTGAGATTTGTCTTTTACACTATGACAAGTGATTGGTGTTATACTCTGACATGTGAGATTGGTATTATACACTGGGACAAGTGAGATTGGTATTATACACTGTGACATGTGAGATTGGTATTACACACTGACAATTGAGGTTGGTATTATACACTGTGACAGATGAGATTGGTATTACACACTGTGACATGTGAGATTGGTATTACACACTGTGACATGTGAGATTGGTATTACACACTGTGACAATTGAGGTTGGTATTATACACTGTGACATGTGAGATTGGTATTACACTGTGACATGTGAGATTGGTATTACACACTGTGACAAGTGAGATTGGTATTATACACTGTGACATGTGAGATTGGTATTATACACTGTGACAAGTGATATTGGTATTATACACTGTGACATGTGAGATTGGTATTACACACTGACATGTGAGATTGGTATTATACACTGTGACAAGGGAGATTGGTATTACACACTATGACAAGTGAGATTGGTATTACACACTGTGACAAGTGAGATTGGTATTATACACTGTGACATGTGAGATTGGTATTATACACTGTGACAAGTGAGATTGGTATTATACACTGTGACAAGTGAGATTGGTATTATACACTGTGACATGTGAGATTGGTATTACACACTGTGACATGTGAGATTGGTATTACACACTGTGACATGTGAGATTGGTATAACACACTGTGACAGGTGAGATTGGTATTACACACTGTGACATGTGAGATTGGTATTACACACTGTGACATGTGAGATTGGTATTATACACTGTGACAAGTGAGATTGGTATTATACACTGTGACAAGTGAGATTGGTATTACACACTGTGACAAGTGAGATGTGAGATTGGTATTATACACTGTGACATGTGAGATTGGTATTACACACTATAACAATTGAGATTGGTATTACACACTATGACAAGTGAGATTGGTATTATACACTGTGACAAGGGAGATTGGTATTACACACTGTGACAAGTGAGATTGGTATTACACACTATGACAAGTGAGATTGGTATTACACACTATGACATGTGAGATTGGTATTACACACTGTGACATGTGAGATTGGTATTATACACTGTGACATGTGAGATTGGTATTACACACTGTGACATGTGAGATTGGTATTATACACTGTGACATGTGAGATTGGTATTACACACTGACAAGTGAGATTGGTATTATACACTGTGACAAGTGAGATGTGAGATTGGTATTATACACTGTGACATGTGAGATGTGAGATTGGTATTATACACTGTGACATGTGAGATTGGTATTACACACTATAACAATTGAGATTGGTATTACACACTATGACAAGTGAGATTGGTATTACACACTGTGACATGTGAGATTGGTATTACACACTGTGACATGTGAGATTGGTATTACACACTATGACAAGTGATATTGGTATTACACACTTTGACAAGTGAGATTGGTATTACACACTGTGACAAGTGAGATTGGTATTACACACTATAACAAGTGAGATTGGTATGTATTATACACTGTGACAAGTGAGATGTGAGATTGGTATTATACACTGTGACATGTGAGATGTGAGATTGGTATTATACACTGTGACATGTGAGATTGGTATTACACACTATAACAATTGAGATTGGTATTACACACTATGACAAGTGAGATTGGTATTACACACTGTGACATGTGAGATTGGTATTACACACTGTGACATGTGAGATTGGTATTACACACTATGACAAGTGAGATTGGTATTACACACTGTGACAAGTGAGATTGGTATTACACACTATGACAAGTGAGATTGGTATTACACACTGTGACATGTGAGATTGGTATTACACACTGTGACATGTGAGATTGGTATTATACACTGTGACATGTGAGATTGGTATTACACACTGTTACAAGTGAGATTGGTATGATACACTGTGACAAGGGAGATTGGTATTACACACTATGACAAGTGAGATTGGTATTACACACTGTGACAAGTGAGATTGGTATTACACACTGTGACAAGTGAGATGGGTATAATATTCTGTGACAAGTGAGATTGGTATAAAACATATTTTTCTGAATTGTTCTTTCAACTTGTAACATCATTTCAGTGAGTTGAATACAAGAAAAAGTCGGCATGAAACATACAGAAATTTTAGTTTTTTAACATTCCGAAAATTATTAGGTTTTTTTATAAAGAGAAATGATCTTGAATGTAATTATATGTGACACCAGAGAACAAAGTAATAGAGCAGTTGTATTGGGGAGAATTGATTGAGTTATTAGATACAGTGCCATGTCAATACAAGGATTTAGTACTGTGGTCTGTGTAAATATAGCCGTTACATTGTGTGCTCACACTAACATCAACCCAACACTTGTATCAATATTTACACTTGTCATATTTAAACAAACTTTATTACAGTGCTGTATAATTACGCTCGTTACGGGAATGAAGCCATATAAATGTCATTTATACCATTTAACATAGCACTATGAGTAGTCTGGTTTTATTTATGTGTAATGGTGATTTAGAAAGTGCACTTATAGTGAATTAGTAACAAATGCATTGTGAAATAATTACTTTTTCAGTTTGAATTGCTGCAAAAACAAAATTGTTACATTCTCTATTCATCTTTGAATTGTCAACAAATCTTGTAGCTTACCATTGAATTTTTTAATTTGAAAGTTTGATAACTTTTCTTTTTCCTTAAATTAAGTGTTATCATGCCTACTAGATTGGGTTGAACGGGGTGACAATTTTGAAAAATTTTAAACAAAAGAGCTAATTAATTTTTATTTGTCATTGCAGCACCAGCAGCAGGTTGCAGCAGCAGTAGAAAGAGCCAAACAGGTGACTATGACAGAACTCAATGCTATCATTGGGGTAAGTAATCTCCCCTTGATATTTGAGTTTATACCGTAAACATACTTGTATTAAAGTGATCCTGTTTCATGGCCACAGACAGATAACGTAAATTAACAGTTTTTTTTGTATCATTCAAGTGAAAAATGAAGATCAGTTTAAATTAAAGTTTAACACCTAATATTTACCAAAAGCAGTAAATTTGTATCAAATATGGGTTCGCTTTGTCGAATCGGCATATTCATTTCTGTGTACAGTCATTACCTTTGGTATTTGGATTATTTAATTTACAAACTCAAGTCTGTGCTAATAAATAAAGACATGTGTTGATGCAAGTTTGTTTACTGTAATGAGCAAGTTTTGGCCATGCACTTGTAAACAATTATATAGATGCATGTTACTTAAGAATTTGCTGTTGTACATCCTACTTTACTTGTATGGTAGGTGTATGGTAGAAACTAGGATGCAAACCTGAATTCTGTGAAAAAGTATGCATTTTTTTTATAACCATGATTTTGATAGGTATAAACCAAAACACTTGAATTTCATTGATTACATCAAACTGGAAGTATCGTTTCTAGACAATACAGGAAACATATAGATATAAATATAGGTAGTCCAATAAAAATATCAAAATTTATGTAGTAATGTGGAATGCCTATTTTGTCTCTGTTGCATCTGCTTTAAGGAAGTATACACTTTCAGATAAAAATATGTGGTTGTCGGAATGCCATCATTCCAATATTTTAAGTGTGAAGATTAAGGCAGATTTGTACATCACCAAAGATAATGATGACCTATACTATTGGTGTCTGGATCTATTTTGGGTTTTTTTCCACAAAATCATGGGAAAAGATTAAATAAGCAATCATGATGGAAGTTGTTAGAGAAAATATGTGATAAAAATGTTTATCGATTTGATTAATATTGTTTATTTTTTAAGCTAAAGCATGAGAATCTAAGTGAATTACATCATTACTTTGGTGATGTGGTTGAATAATTTTTTATCATATTGTTTGATTAAGGGGAAATATCCTTGTTGACTTTTTATGAAGTTTATTTGAAATTGAACACCCTCGGGTCCCTCTATAATAAATTATTGTAGAGATTTCTATCATCCTAATAACAAACCTCTTTCATTTGAATTGATTTCTATAACATTTACGAGAGCGAGCATTGATTTATAATGCACAATTTATAGAAATTTTATTTTTGATCAAAATTCTCTTTTAATTTGACAAAGAAAACAATATATATTGTTCCTGTGTTTGTTTAATCGTCATTTCTTTTCTAGGCCAAAGGTCAGAGTTTTAGTATTTCCATTTAGTTGATAACTCAGAATTGTTGATTTCTATGGTATTTCCTGGTGTTGATTGGATTTTATTGGTTTGATTACTTGCAGCAACAAATGCAGGCTGGTCAGCACCTGGCAGGTGCCCATGCTCACGGGGCCCCACCCTTCCCAATGCCTCCCCATCCCCCAGGACTACAGCCTCCAGGGCTGCCCTCAAGTACTGCATCTACTCTCCTCGCCCTCACTGGCCACGGTGCCCTTGGGCTTTCCTCGCACCTCAATTCACTCAAGGAGGAAAAAGGTTAGTAAGAGGCCATGCAAGGTGAAGCCTTGGATCTTATTGCACTGCTGCAAATTGTTCAGTGAATCTTGCAAAGTATTTGATATACTAAAGAATAGTTGTTGTAAAAATCACAATTTTGATTTAGAAAATACCTTGACTTTTGTATTCTGAATATTGAATACTTTGAACTATACTTAACATATTTTGCGGGTTTTAAGCTATATTGGTATGTAAGCCACAGTGATTTTACAATTTCATCCACATATTAGTTGCACCAGAATATAAGCCACACCCTTTCTTACGAAGTGGTAACTGTTACAATGACCAAAGTTCATTGATATAACAGACAACGGAGGGCATTTTATCAAGATCGCTAGTGACACATTTGATATAAGATTGGAAATGAATTATACGCAGATAATTTTTAATTTTATTGATGTATTTAAAAAAAGCTGTAAGATAGCAAATATCAAACTCGTTTGACTTTGGTACCTCATAGATTGTCTATGCACAGATATAGAGCCTGACATTGTATACAGTTTACTAAGCAATCTCTCCATCAGTGTCTGTACTGTAAAATATTAATGAAGGCCCTTGCATGCTGACCAAATTCTTATAGTCCCCGATTATTTCATGTATGTTACACAAAGTCATCCATATCTAAAACAAGCAATTTGACCTATAACTTGATGACCCATCGATCCCAGGATGAAAATGGCAATTGTATACTTCTGTTATGGCATCCAAGTAACTGAGAAAGTGCAGAATATGTTTTGATTTGTATTAAGAGGTATGATTCATTAAATCCATGAGAATATCATGTTTATTTCAATCTTCAAATCATCCTGTATGTGATTGCAAATGACAGTTCTAGACGATCATGTTTATTTCAATCTTCAAATCATCCTGTATGTGATTGCAAATGACAGTTCTAGACGATCATGTTTATTTCAATCTTCAAATCATCCTATATGTGATTGCAAACGACAGTTCTAGACGATCATGTTTATTTCAATCTTCAAATCATCCTGTATGTGATTGCAAACGACAGTTCTAGACGTTCTGTTTCAGTCACAAACACCCGATGGGCAGTAGTCATAAAAAAATTGGTACCGTCTCATACTGGTGTACTGTTTCATACTGGTGTACTGTTATACTTCCTGGGTTTTTTTTTTTAATTTTTTTTTTAGTCCTGCAGTTTTTTTTTTTCATCCACAAATAAGCCACATCGGCATTTAAGCCATATGCCCGACTCGTGAGGAAGAATAAATGTGACTTCTAATCTGGAAAATACTTTACTTTGAAAGATATTTGTGATTCTAAGTGGATCCTGCTATTTAGTAGTGGAATATAAATGATTCATATAAATATTAAATGCATTGGCCTTATTGACATTCATAAATGTATGTAATCAGAAAGTATGTGTTCCTTAAATAGGAAAAGATGCTACATAAAATAGTCTGTCAGCTGTTATATGTATTAGAAGGGTAGGTTATACAGGAGTGTCAACTGTTATATATATCAGTAGGGTAGGTTATACACAAGTGTCAGCTGTTATATATATTAGAAGGGTAAGTTATACAGGGGTCTGTCAACTGTTATATATATCAGTAGGGTAGGTTATACAGGAGTGTCAGCTGTTATATATATCAGTAGGGTAGGTTATACAGGAGTGTCAACTGTTATATATATCAGTAGGGTAGGTTATACACGAGTGTCAGCTGTTATATATATATCAATAGGGTAGGTTATACACGAGTGTCAGCTGTTATATATATTAGAAGGGTAGGTTGTACAGGGGTCTGTCAACTGTTATATATATCAATAGGGTAAGTTATACAGGGGTCTGTCAACTGTTATATATATCAGTAGGGTAGGTTATACACGAGTGTCAGCTGTTATATATATCAGTAGGGTAGGTTATACAGGGGTCTGTCAACTGTTATATATATCAGTAGGGTAGGTTATATGGGAATGTCAACTGTTATATATATCAGTAGGGTAGGTTATATGGGAATGTCAACTGTTATATATATCAGTAGGGTAGGTTATACAGGAGTGTCAACTGTTATATATATATCAGCAGGGTAGGTTATACAGGAGTGTCAACTGTTATATATATATCAATAGGGTAGGTTGTACAGGAGTGTCAGCTGTTATATATATCAGTAGGGTAGGTTATACACGAGTGTCAACTGTTATATATATTATTAAGGTAGGTTTTCGTTTTGCATCTTTACATAAATATTGCATCATTTCTACAATCATTGTGAAACAGAAATTAAATATGTATTGACATTTTTTTTCCTTTTCATTTTCCTCTTGGTGGACAAACAGATGAAAAACATGTAAGTAATCTGCTTCATTTGATTTCTGAATTTTCTGCTTGGCTTGTACACATATAAATTTCAATGAATTTATAAAAAGAATTTGCAGGTCATTAATTACAATATGTTAATCTTTGTTTAGGCTATTTGACACAAGTAATCCCATGTTTAATGATCCGAAGAGTTAATAATCCTATACTCTGGTTCTATATATAGATACTTGTTAGGTTTGCGTCATTTCACCTGTGGTACCTGAACCATTATCACATGATTATAGGTATTGGTAACTTAAGTAATCAATTAAAGTTTTACGTTATTTCCTACTGGAGTGGAACAATGTAACGTGAAGATTTTCAGTGTTTAAAACTAATCAGAAACTTGGTCAGCATTCAAGAAAAGTAAAATTAAGGTGTGTTAGAAATAAGTATAAAACGATCGGGGAGTTCATTTATTTCTGGGGAAAAACAATATGAAAAAAACATTACAATCAACACTATATGATAACAGCTGTAGTTTAGACAATTCAACCAGTATTGGAAACTCTCGTTGTGGTAGAAGACCCTACATTAAAATTTGTCTGCGGATTTGATTGATTGTATGATTTTGATGGTATAAGTATAACGGATGTTGATTTAGAAAGAGCTGACTGGACTCTGAGTCCCTGTTGTTTGGGACAGAGCTAGCTGACTCAAACTCGAGTAAAGCTTGGCTTTAGGTCCTCTTTACATGGATAGGGCAGACTTGGCTTGTTTGACTGGGAACACAAATAAAAAGGATTGCAGCAAGAGCTCTGTATGATATGGAATATGACTTGTTAATTCTGACCTTGTTGGTTCTTAATGGTACAGAATTAATTTCCTTAACCCCGGTGTATCTGAATTTACCGGATTTGATTCAAATCCACAGACTTCTAAATATAACTAACCAAGATTTATCATCTCCCATAAACTTGTGTAATTATATTACTTCAGGCATGGTAGGAAAAATATTGAAGAAAATTAAAAAATGATCCATTTTATAATTGAAGGAAGAGTACACATGTCTTCAGGTACATAGGAAGTGCAGGGGGATAAAATTCTCTGTTTAAAGGTAGAATTTAGGTTGCCTTAATATAATGAAATAACATTTTCAGATAGTTGTGGAACTTTGCATTGCTCTGGTAATGTAACATCTAGGACACAAACAAACCAGATCTATCAAGCATAATAAGTGTGGAGTATCGGGTATTAACAGGGATTATCTGATGTTACGGATATTTGTCAATCCCGAACTCTGATCCTCTTAACATGTAGAGGTATTAAGTATATTTAGTTTGGGACTTATCTGGTCAAGGATTAGCGACTAGAGAGGCTCCGTCATGGCTTGATGCCCAACACACTCGCTCCTTAATAGAATTTACAAGGTAAATATTGCCAAGTGTTAGGATCAACCTTGTCGTTGGAATTCCAGTTGAGAAAAATCCTGTCCTCTTCTTATTACAGTAGGTTTTGGTATTGAATGGATCACTTCAAATATTGATCAAGCGCTATGCCCTGAAATGCTTACTGGCTATAGAAAATACTGGTGTTTGTTAATGAACAATAATTATATTTACATAGTCTGTATGTTGTTTATACTTATAGCAAAAAAAACTTTCTACAAGTTCTTTTCACATTGGTGTGTTTGGGGCTCAGTTAGGGGACAGCTAGGAGGAATTCTTATAAATTGAAAGATATTTTTAAAAATCTATTCAATTGAAATTTGTACCTTTGGTGATTTTTTCCTATTAAGTTTTAAAAGGCAATACTAAATAATCATATACACATATTTTTTCCATGCTGAATATTGTTATCAATCAATTTATAAGATATGCATTATGAAATTAAAATAAGTTAAATTTTAATGGAATAAATTTATTTCTTGTTCCTTTTTTGGGGTGATTGAAGAGGGTGCAAATTTGTGATTTGTTTGATATGAACTATATCTTATATCAACAGTTTAAAGAATTTTGTCAAATGTTGAAATATGTTTATTAATTTCAAAACAAAACTAAAAAATATTACATTAACAATTCAATACTTAGAATAAAAACTTCACATTAATTAAGAATATTTCGATGATCTAGTAAGACACAGGAAAATTTAGATGATCTAGCTGGACATTTGTAAATCTTCTGTAAGATTTTTGTGATAACACATTCAATTTTCATAGCGTTAATATAATTTTTAATTGGTTCTACGAACAATAAAGTATAAACCAATCTTTATTTTGTGTTACAATATAAACACATTGAGGTAGTAAGCATGGGAAACGCTTGGATAAGAAAATACAAATCAAGCCTGTTATAGTCCATTTGTCGATTCTTGTTGATCTTTCTTCAGCTTTTGGCTTGAAATTGATAGTTTTGTGTTTCCTATTCAATTAAACTGTGATTATGTAAACATGTGCCACATCAGGTCTGGCTATTCTTGGTAGTTATCATACCCAAAGAAATCAATGAACATTATGCTGCAGACACCAATATAGTGAAATAGTCTTTGTGAAGGACTTGACCCTCACAGCTGATTGGGGCTTTGCCAATAGTCACATGATTAGTTAGATTTTCCTGCTTATACCAAGACTGTAAGTGATCATTTGGTTTCTTATTGCTGCATACAATAGACACAAAAAAGTAAGAAAAAAATAGAATTGTCCAGATTTTTGAAATGCTGAGACAATTGTTTACTCTTTTTTTTTTTTTTTTTAAGAAGGTTAATAATATGAAAACAGAAGTGTTTTTATTGAGTTGACTATACTTTGTAATTCAGACACAGAGACCCGCAGGGATGTGTGGAGAGTAAACAAAGTGAGACAGCATAGAATGATCGGATATTAGCTTCTTGTCTTGACAAAGGCTGCGGCAATATTTGCATTGGCCTATATGGAATATTTGTTTCATTTTCTGGCTCACAAAACTTGCTACACATAGGCCGCTGTTCAAACAAGGGTAGTCGACTCAGATATAAGCGACTATTTGAACAGAAAACCCTGACAAAACATTGCATCCTCTTGGGATGAGAACAAGTCGATTCCTATGGATTTGTCTTGTCAATTGACGCTTGTGTACGTTTGGTCTTAAGTACACTGGAGAATGGATTGCTTGTGGCCAATGGGACAAGTGACTGTTTGCTGCCGGCAAAGGTGCCGGTAGGCTGTTTTAATTTTATTTGACAGTCCAGTGTTTTGATTGTTTTGTTTAACGTGTTTGTTTCCAACTACATGATATTTTGCAAATAGCTATTGGTGTTTATCTATAGATATGGTCGGAGGACCATTAAGTCATTAGGGTGTGGATTGGTGTGGTGAACCAGAGTATATCCTAGTAAGTTTTTAAAACATCAAAATTCCTAGATAAAAATTTTGTTATCTTTGACGTGCCCGATGTGTATACAAGATGTTGTTTCTCTTTCTGCCAGCCATGTCTAAAATAAATATTGAGTCCTCCAAACTATTCACCCTAATAATGTTCCCAATTAAGTCTTCTGTCAGGAGCAGCTAAAATAAAAACTCCCAAGATGGGTTTTGTGATGGAGCCTTTTTAAGTAAAATAAACACGAATCAACAGAAAATTTATTGTGCTGTAAATAACTAAAATCTGGATGATCTTACATGCTGGTACTAGTGAGAAGGGGAAAAATCTCTTAATCTATAAGAGTACAAAAATCAATGAAAATATGAAACTGTGTTTGGCGTCATTTAATGATAGAATAACCCACAGTGGGAGGTGTGGCTGTGATGTAACTTGTCTCTCTGACTAATGTTACATAAAACCTTTTAACGAGGGAATTGAAAATATGTTCACCACACATGGCCATTTTCCAGTGATTGATGTTAAAATGTTTTCTTAGGAAAATAACTGTAGATAAAAAAGGAATTTTCAATACTGTAAAGAAAAATAGACTTTGTTGTACTCTTCGCTAATGAAACATTCCCAATACTCTTCAGTAAAATTGATTACATGATATAAACATGTGTCATTGATTTCTAATATTGTTCATTAAAAAGAATTTACAGGTTTATTTCTATAAGTGTATATCACATTTTAGCTTTGCTACTAAATCACGTCATTTATTTCTTATGTTTAAAATTATCTTAAAAAAGATGAATTTTTCCTGTAAAATATGATGATCTGTGCAAAGTAAATCTTGTGTGTGATCTAACATACAGATTTATATTTTGAAATTTTGTATATGACATATTTTCCAGAGATCTGTATATTGTACATTCTTGCTTTAACTTGGAATATTAACTTGAAGTATGTGTGAAAAATTACTCCAAATTGTGTGAGTGTACAGAAACATTTATGACAAATGCAGGATTAGGGTAGTTAAACTTTTGACAAAGAAATAAAAACACACTTATATTTCATTAAAGTTTTCATGTAATGTAATTATCTGGAGAATTTTTTTATACAGATCGTTTTTGCATTTTCACAAATATTTGTGTTACAACTTGTTGGTCATCAATCATACTTGTTTAGAGAATTAAAACATAAAAAACCTGAGAGGCAATAATACAAGGTTGTATAAGATCTCAAGGGCTCTTCAGCCCCCTGTCATTAAACGGTCATTAAGCATATGGCAAGAAGTTGCTCCATATCTTTTTTTGATCCTTCGCAAATGTAAGCACATGAAGACAATCAGGCACACGCATAACCACAAGCAAATCTTTTTTATGCTTCTTTTACTCTACATATTTTTCCGGGCTGATTTTAAATTCAGTTCTTTAAATAAAATACCATCCATGTTTCCTTATTGCTGAATGCAACAGAAATACACGCTGCAGATTTTTAACTTGGCAACCCCCACTAGTACAATCAAAATGAGCGAATATATTGACAGGAAAACGGGGGGCCTGCCTTAGCATCTGGCTGCACGAAAATGTAGATAAGCTTCATTAAAAATCATACTGAAAGTTGGTGGATAACATTTTTGGCTATCTTGCATAAGAAACATGGAGAAAGACAAAAACGCCACTTTTTAATCAATCATATTTTGCACAGTAGAAAGATAGCGATCCTTAATGTAATACTTCAATTGGCAAGGGGTTAGGCAGAAAATAAATGAGCTAACATGAGATCTACTGTGCAAGTGGAAAACAAAGAAACTCGCATGATGTAATCGGAAAACATGGTAATCTCAGGAAATTACGCTGTAGTTGTTAAAAGCTAAAGGAACAGAAATCTATTCTTCATTGAGTTGTTTGAGGCGTTTGGCACTGACTGTGTCAAAGATGTCTATCTCCAGACTTGAAACGAGCTACTGAATTTCATTTCAAGATTACTCTGCGAATGGGAAGTTGAGTGCTGGCTTAATGATGACGGCACACCTGTTGTCTGTTGAATTACCATTCCTGGCCTTTGACCTGCTCTGGTTCGTGTTGATATATAAATCTTTCAATCTTCATCCAACTTTTTCTTAATGGAAGCAAAAATATCTGTAAAAAAATAAAAATCTGGTAATCTTTAAGTCATCTCTTTACGAAGGCACAAATATCTGTGAAGAACTCGAAGATTTATTGGTATAGAAAATTGTCTGCAGGCATATCACATCATACATGAAACCTGGTGAGAAATGAGTAGTTAATCAAAAACCAAGAGAATCTTGTTATCGGATAAATGGTACCATCTTTAAGAGAAGATTCTGCTAAAATGCTGTGAAGATAATATCTTTTGGACTTAAATGTTTTACAAAAAAGCAAAAATGCCAAATAAATTGGAATGAATTGGAAGGCAGATATTTTTAAGGAATCCTACCTAGCTTGTGTGGTAGGTCAACTAAAAACTAAAATGTTGGCCTTTTTACCATCATCATGATCTCTAAAAGAGCTTATTCATATCTTGATACAGATTAATTGTTAAATGAGTATGATACGTTGGGTATATTTGCATGCAAGCTTATTGGCACTTGTTTATCATCTGTTTGGCCAGTGTTTGTGGCAGACAAGACCTATTGATGAGGTTTACTTGATGTAAAGATAGGCTATGAAGAGGCCATAAAATATCAATCAGGTTGGATCAGACTTCACGGATGTTGCTTAGGATCGTTGCTTAGGATCGGTTGAAAGTGTAAATCCTGTATCTAGACAAGTATCTGTAATGAAGTTTTAGTGGTCGCCAATCCGTGTTTATAGTGAAGTAGCAGAGATCCCTAAATCTTTACACTTCTGGACGTCGTGGAAGCCCCTAAAAATTTGAAGGTGCCTAGAATTAGAGGACTTCATATTCTAATACACCAATATATTAGTGTTTGTATGAACTTTGTAATTAGATCTGTTTGATTCTCAGAACCCTTCTTTGATAGGAATGTCTTTAATCCCTTGTATGAATATTTTGGTCTGCCTGAAACCCTTAATGGCTTGTATGAATATTGGGTTTTTTGAACCCATAAATTCCATGTCTGAATCTCTTGCATGGTGTATTTCTGAAAGCATATACCCCTTTTATGTCATTTGAATTTACCTGAACCCCAAAATCCCTTTTATGGTATTTGAATTTACCTGAACCCCAAAATCCCTTTTATGGTATTTGAATTTACCTGAACCCCAAAATCCCTTTTATGGTATTTGAATTTACCTGAACCCCAAAATCCCTTGTATGGTATTTGAGTTTACCTGAACCCCTAAATCCTTTCATGTCTGTTATATTTAGAGGTGACCTGAAGCTATAAAGATCTTTGAAACTTGTGGAAAGGTTCATATAAACCCTAAATCTATTAATATCGGGGCTGTCTGTGGTTGGAAATACTTGGCTCTTCAAGGCGGCCTATCAGGTGCTTCAATGGACACAGGTACCAATAGTATCGCAACAATCGGCAAACAGCACTGCTTAGCAAGTGTTGAGATCTGGCAGTGTAAACACTCTCCAAATGTTTGCTATGTTGGCTTTAGGTAAGTGTTTGCCGATCATAAACCTTGTTCTTGGTGTACACTGGCATTGAACTCGGGAATACAGGTAGGAATCAAGGAGAGACGCTGATCCCCCACAAAGTTCTCCGTAGTCACTTGAAGCTCTATCTCCTCTGGGCTAAATCCGTGAGTGTTAGTGACCTGAGCGTCACATTTGTATTGTGTTGATGTGATTAAACACATCTATTTCAGGATCACGTTTAGGGAGAACTTTTATCTTTTTTTATCGTGTTTTTCTGCTTTTTTAGACGACAAGAAAAAAATTTAATTGACTTAGGTGTTATGTAATTTACTAACATCAGGGTAAGATTTTTATAGTCAAGACAAAACTGAAATCTTTCTTGTTCCTCAGGGGAGGTTGAAACAGTTCCTTAGGGGAAGTTGAAACATATTCTAAGCTGTAGCAACAACTTAACATTGGTGAATGGAAACACTGCTAGGCCAGATAAAAACAAAACTTAAAAAAAAAAAAAAAAACAGGAAAAATACGATTAACAATACTAAACTAACATTAATTAATGCTTTTATTTCATTTCATGGTGGACTGATATTTGTTGGTTTTTTTATATCATTAATGACTAGAAATGTCTTGAAAGAGGTCAACACTCAAGGTCACTTTATCAAAGCATGATGGAGATTGGGCTGAATGGTCTTCTTTATACTGCAAAGGACACCATCGCCCTAATGTATCTACTACATGTATGGTAAACTGGGTAGGGCACCACATTGGTTGTTCCCATGGTTACTCGCACATCAATATATATTGAAGTACAAACGTATTTGAGTAATATATCTATAAATAGATCCAAAAAGTAATGAGATCTGGGGAGGAAGAATTAAAGCAACCAATGGCATTTAATTTCAGATCTTGCTGCATGCATCAGGACCCTGGAGACTGGATTAGACTGCAATTTCAGGAAGAAATCAATATCCTATTGTCTTTATCTTTTCCCCATAAAACGCGGTCCCAAGGGTATTTATTAGACCGGCATGTCTCCGTGTGTATGCGTTGGCTGCTGTTCCGACATCCTGCCATCAGGCGCCTGCGTAGGTCCTGGGTGGATCAAAACACTATCATTTTAGTTCGCCATGTATTTCCCGTATTTTGTAATCACGGAGAATGACTTAGGATATTTCTCCAAGGTTCAACTAAGTATAAAGAACCCAAAACATACACAAGACATTATCATCTCTTTCCCACACTGGAGGCTCAGTTTTAAGTCAATTTGTTTTATTTTGTATATGATTCTATATAATCTTGATGATGCACGAGACGTTTTATCAGTAATGGGGATTATTTCACTGAAAACATCTTTATTTATTTGAAAGATATTGCTTTACACAATTTGAAATGTGTGTCCAGTTTCCTGAAGGTTTTGATACTATCTATGTTAGATTTGAATTTTACAAACCAGGTAATTGTATTCCATTAAAATAACTTTCTGAACAGAAAATCACCAAGTGTGATCAGTGTCTTTTGTATCCAGATTTTTATACTTTTGTGTCAGATTTTGCATTATACACCTAATTAAAAATTGTTATATTAGCATTCATATTTTGGCAGGATTACTTGAAAATTGAAGGGAAAAAGATATGCATTTTGTCTAAAGGTGGAAAGTGCAAAAACTACATACGAATTAAAAGGAAATTCGAATGATATTTTACAATTTTAAAAAAAAACTCACTTGAGCATGAAAATTGAAGATAAATATCCTTAATTTTGCCAAAAGATAGAAAGTACAAAATTAAAAACATACAAATTAAAAGGAAATTTGAATAATATTTTACAATGAAAAAAACCCTCACTTAAACAAGGATTACAATACCAGAATGTGTAGTCTATTAATCAATCTACCTTAAAATAGACATCTTTTATTCAGACAACACTCATTGAATGTAAAATATTTGAATTGTGTAACCTTTTTAATACAATTTCATCTGACATGAAATTAAGTTCTGCACATTCTGACACCCTGTCTAAACTGACTTCTTTATTGGTTTTGGTAAGGTGTCAGATTAGAGAGGTTTTCTGTTGTCAGTAATACCCTCTTGTACTGTAAATATACATACACTTTATGTGAGCAGGAGAAAAGCTTTTAAAGATGAAAATAATGAATTGTTCTAGTGTAGGATTTGTGTTCAGTATTTGCAGAGAAAGTTCATTTAAACAAGTGATTATGGTCCTCCTGATGTTTGAGCTACTTAGCAAAGTACACTAGACTGTGCAAACAGCTGTCTGATGTTGATTTCAAAGGTGTACTTTTACATTGCCAAGCAACATGAGGTGATGTGGTTGCAATTAACGAGCCGTGGCATTAATTAGCCTCGTTAGAGTGAGTAGACTCTTGTTCTGTGATAGTGTCGTGTACAATAGTAGGTCACAGTGCATTTAGTTAAGCTATAAAAGTGGTGTATAGATACATGGTTAGACAAAGCTGAGTGGGAGTTGATGTGAGGGTATGTACAGAGACAAAAAAACAGCAAGCATTCCAGGGTATATATCCGACACAAAATGTAGAATATCAAGGCACATTGTCAGACAATTAATTTGTAGGATATTGCAGACTTTTAATTTCAGCATACCCTTTTTTACTTAAAGCTTATAACAAGCTCATTTTTGGATATGGCAGAATTAAAATCACAGGATGTTTGGGATATGTCTAACCCTGATAAATACTGGTCACAATACATTTATCTTGGCTGGTTCAGCATCAGTCAAATAAGCCAGAAGTCTCTGATTCAATCTCAAATGGAAACATTGAAATAAGCATGACCTTCTGTAACAGATGGAATTTCAAAAATCAAAAAGACAGAAAGAAGGATGTGCCAGAATGTTGAATAATTTTTTGTATATCAGTAAGATGTAAAATCAAGTATTTATAATTTGACACCTAATGTTTAAAAACTTAATAATCACAAATAATTTAGGAAGGCAATCCAGTGCTTAAGGTGGTATATTGAACTACTGAATACAACTGAAATTTTGTGTTTTTAGCACCATTGTCATCAGGATAGCATACAGCATTTTGTTATCGTAATTCATATTTTACATGTGAAGCGGTTTAAAAAAGACATTTTCATAATCATATTTTCCAGAGATCTTCCACCTCACCAGGAGATAGAGACAAGTATGGTGAAAAATATGCAGATAAATTCAGTGAAAAATACCCATCACATCGTAGCCGAACCCCAGAAGTAAATGAAAATGCAACAAAAAAGCGAAGAACGGAGGAGAAGTCTGTGGTAGGTAACACAATAGGGAACCAACATTCTGACCAGAAAGATTCTGGAACATTACTGTGTGTCATTAGTCATGGTAGGTTCTGAAATACAGCTGTGTGTGTGATTGTTCATGGTAGGTTCTGAAATACAGCTGTGTGTGTGATTGTTCATGGTAGGTTCTGAAATACAGCTGTGTGTGTCATTGTTCATGGTAGGTTCTGAAATACAGCTGTGTGTGTCATTGTTCATGGTAGGTTCTGAAATAAGCTCTATGTGTCATTATTCATGGTAGATTCTGAAATAAGCTGTGTGTGTCATTATTCATGGTAGGTTCTGAAATACAGCTGTGTGTGTCATTGTTCGTGGTAGGTTCTGAAATACAGCTGTGTGTGTCATTGTTCATGGTAGGTTTTGAAATACAGCTGTGTGTGTCATTATTCATGGTAGATTCTGAAATAAGCTGTGTGTGTCATTATTCATGGTAGGTTCTGAAATACAGCTGTGTGTGTCTTTGTTCATGGTAGGTTCTGAAATACAGCTGTGTGTCATTAGTCATGGTAGGTTCTGAAATAAGCTGTGTGTGCCATTGTTCATGGTAAATTCTGAAATAAGCTGTGTGTGTCATTATTCATGGTAGGTTCTGAAATAAGCTGTGTGTGTCATTATTCATGGTAGGTTCTGAAATACAGCTGTGTGTGCCATTGTTCATGGTAAATTCTGAAATACATGTGTGTGGTATTTTGACAAATGACAAATTTGCTAATTAACACCATGTAATTCCACATGGTGTCAGTAGATACCAGTAGCTTACAGTTTGGCCTGGCATGAACTTTGTCTGCAAGCTCAGGGACGTCAGTTTGTCACAGTATCTGTTATGTAACATACAGGAAATTAAATGTTTCAGAAATTATCAACTCAAATTGTTTGTGACAATATCACAGTTTGTGTGATATATTTTACAGGATAGTGATGCTGAGAAGAGTGACTCTGAGCTGGTTGTCGACGTAGGGGAGGTGAGCAGCCACAAACCAATCGCTGTACGGCTTCTTGTAATTGCATTCATGATAATTTACATTATTGATCGCCATGTAAAAATAAGAAAATCGTTTGACGGTCTTATGAGTTAATTAAGTATGCTATACATCCTTTTGAAGTTGTTTGGATCCAATTTTATTGGTAATAGATTTTTTTTTTTTTGATAATTTTTAAACACCTGTGCCTGATCAAATTATTTTGATGTAATTACTTAATGTCTGGAAAAGTTAATAGTGTATTTCTAATCATCAGAATGTATGTTCATAATTAGGAAATTGATATTTTCATTGAATATAATTTAGAAAGGAAGCAAGGCATTCTTTCTCTCTAAATTTCGCTGTTTTTTGGGGAATCAGTCAATTGTCTGCCATTTTATACTTGTTAATGCTTCAAGTACATTTTGTATTTTAAATTACTGATGATACACTTTGATAGCATTACTTGTTAAAACATGTTGATTGAAGTTACCCACTATAATATATGTCTATAACAATATATGTTTTTTATTTAGGATTCAGCTCCACCTATGAATGGAGATCTATCGCCAAGAGAAAAAGCCCCCAAAGAGCTCCCAAAGAAATCAGAAGATAGAATAAGCCCTCGTAGTGATGCTTCCTCCCATGGAAGCGTTGCATCAAACAAACATGGCAGAGAGGTAAAATTACCAAAGTTTTCTTAAAAGTAACAATGTCACTAGACTGGTCAATATTATTTATAACAATCTTAATCTGTGGAGTTATTTTGCTGTCTGAGTACTACTGAGTTATTGAATTGACTCCGCTACTGAGTTATTAAATTGACTCCACTGCCCAATTATAGGGAGGATTCAGTTGTCATGTTTTTTGGGATGACTCGGCTACCGAGTTAATGAGATGTTTAAAATCAACAACAGAATATCAACAAAGTTTTCATAGTTAAAAAAACACAAACTATGAACAAAGGAAAGGTTTATAGAGACTTAAAGTCCACTGTAAGAAAAAGCCAAGTGTTCCGGAAGGATGAGCTTATTCTGCTTGATCAAGGACACCCTCAATATTAATTTGAGTCAATAAAAATCACCCGAGGTATGATTATGAAATGGATTTCAGCCATTTATCGACTTTTGGGTTAACCTTTATGATGCAGGTTTTATTTATATGGATTCAGTATTGATAACAAACCAAACAAATTTTGTCAGAGCTCTAGTAAACAACTTTCAACATGACAACTATTGAGTATTCCTGTTTGGAAGGAATATCAAGTGATCACTGAGGTTGTTTAAAAAGATCAGAAGGATTTGTTGAGAATATAAAATTGGAAAAAGAGAGATTTTAAGATATGTTGTTATGTAGTCTACTGTTAGGTACATGAAGTAATCTATTTATAGATGTCATGTCAGAATTCTGTTTACATGTATGTAAATGTTTATTTTATAGAATGAAAAGGCATCAACTCCTGTTTCCAAGCCAGCCACCCCAACAAGTTCTGGAAGCACTACACCAGGGCCCTCTGGAGGGAGTGCCATGAAGTCAGGTGGGAAGTTCCCCCTTGCAGGTGAGTGAGAGAGTTGTGTTGATTGGTGGATTGATTTATATCGCAGTGCTTTGGTTTATTATTAACATGAAGTAATCCGCAACAGAAAGTAGTCCCTTTTTTTATCTCTTTTCAATTATTAATTTTGTTTTTGAATATATTTTTACACCTAATTTAGAAGTCGATTTGAAAGTAGGTTTGTTAGGACCATGTTGTGCAAAATGAGATATTTTCTATCTTCACTTTGTTATCAAACTTAAACTTACCCCGTATTTTCTTTCTTTTCTTTTTTTTTCATTAAACTCTTTAAACCCCATCGTATAGTAAATCTAGATTGCATGGGATTTATTTTTAAGCTTAATGTTTTGATAGACATCAGTTTGTTTAGAAATATACCGCTTCTTTTTCATTATCACATGATAAATGCAAATGCATAGATATATACTTTTTAAGATTTATGATTTGTCTCAGAGGCTAGACAACGGTACAGCTTTAGTGTTTGTTGATTGGGGTGTAAATTAGATGGTTATGAAACTAGCATGATATTCTTTTGATAGCCTCATTGTGGCTTCCATTGTTCTTAGAAATACTATTGAAATAGAATTAGGATTAACATTTTAAACATGAATGATATATGTTCATGTTTGAAATAATAGGAAATTCCATAGATTCCTTACCTCACTGCAACTTATCAACCCAACATTCCACAGCACTACTCTCTCACTCCAACTCATGCCTGTGTCACTGGTATAACAGGTAATTTTACCTGTGACAAATTTCCTGTGAAATATCATTATAACCTTGGCTGACCACGATATAAGTCACCCGTGGTTCTGGATAGATTTGAGGAATACCTTTCATATTTCTATGCAAACCCTGGAAAATTGACAGTTTTGATGAATGATCTTGTTTTTCATGACCTAATATTACATGTCATTGTGATTAGCTTACCTTTACTATCAAGTAAAAAACATCTTTTCAACTTTCACACATTTTGGAGAAATGAAAAAAATTCAAATGACTTGTTTCAGATTTTGTTGTTTTTTACATTTCTTGTGTCTGTAAAATTTGTCACGGGTAGATAACTTTTTCTTGTGTCTGTAAAATTTGTCAAAGTAGATGTCTTTTTTTCTGTCTGACTGTAAAATTTGTCACAGGTAGATGACTTTCTTGTGTCTGACTGTGAAATTTGTCACAGGTAGATGACTTTCTTGTGTCTGACTGTAAAATTTGTCACAGGTAGATGACTTTCTTGTGTCTGACCGTGAAATTTGTCACAGGTAGATGACCTTTTCTTGTGTCTGACTATAAAATTTGTCACAGGTAGATGACTTTGCTGACATAAATATGCATGCCAATCTAGTCACATGATTTTATTTTAGAGATTTTGAAGACAAGTTATCAATAAGAATTAATTCTACTTGTTACTGTGTAATAAGTTATGAAAGTTTGATGTTTTTCCTCATTAACATTGCATTTCAGCAGAACATGTTGTTAGTGAGAGATGGTAGAATCAAAAACATCCTCGAGCTTTATCCTTTCATGTTTCCTTATCCTCTGTGTAATGATGAATTGGTATTTAATTTCTTTCTGTATTTTGCATTTTGCTTATCTTTTAATGAATCTAATTAAGCAAGCAAAGACAATAGGATGGATTTATGTAAAAGGAACCAATTAGTTTGAGATAAACTGTGATATTTTTGTAAATGTTATTGAGCATGACTTGCTTTTGAATCGTAAATTTTGAAAATCAAATTAAAAATGAAAATTATTTCTAAGTGACATTAATTATGTAATAAAGGAAATAAGTATGGGGAATTTCGAACTTTTGTATATAGATATAAGTGTAATAACCAGGACTGTGGCTTATATAATGGTTCGATAACCATCTTAATTGTGGACATTTTTGTGGTAAAACACTAAACAGCGGTTAGATTGTCTGTATGTATATATGTACATATGCATTAGTGTTCCCTAAATTGTGACCGTATGATATGTCTTGTCAAAAAAGCTTTGGAAAGATAGAGAGAGAAAAATTATGAGGAACTGTAAAAGTGGGAATTGCTGTCACCCTTCATCATTATTATGTTATAGATATCTTTGTGTAGATCCTTATTTATCATCAAGATTCATATCAAAATGGATTAGTGGTAAATGATTTAGAGGGTAAACGTAATTACCGTTTTGGTAAATAAATGCTGTGTAGAGGTACAATCTTGATACCAAGTGGATTTTTGGTTTATTGGTAAAATAACATTATGTGGTGTATGAGTATCATACTTGTATCAGACAGGAAGTAAGAGGCAGGTTTTTATTATCATTATAGGTCTGATCATGACTTTATTGTTTTAAGAAATGAGGTGGATTCTGAAATGACTTTTTAAAACAGGATGTGATTTTATAACTAATCATGCTGAATCTATTCTCCTGAAAATTTCACATTTTCTCCTCAAATCTTAAGCTTTAAATCTACATTTGCCTGAATTTTTAAATCTGCATTTGCCTGAATTTTTTGAAAGAAGTAGTAAGATGTTATCATTCATAGTGCCATATATGGAATGTAACCAGGTGATTTATTGCATGAATGTTGTCTGCTTGTGTTTTATCCTTTTTCCTTTACTTTGCTTTATTTCATTTCAAAGACAAAGTCAGAGAGAATTTAGAGATTGCCTTCGATAGATTGGTTCCTAAATCCAATCAAAGATTTTTTTTAGTTCAGTTTTAAATGACAAAGCACTACATACTTTTTACTATACAGTATAATCAGCAAGAAACAAATGGCTTTTCATCAATAAGAGCTTTGGGATTAAGATTTCAAATGATCAGTATATTGATTTGATATTATTACAAATAATGAGAATTTTGTTATAGAAAAGTAGAAAAAAAAGTACCAGTTTCCATGTCATGTTTGATTTGAAGTAAAAACACAAAATCCTTAATTCTTTCATTTGATTTTCCACTTTTTTTTCTGAATTCTTTTCTGATTTTCTTTTTTTAAAAACAACCTTCCTTATTTCCTTATTTTTCCTGTTTATACTTGCTTTGTGTTGTGTATTTCTGTTTGCTTTCTATCTTTTTGTTTGCTGGTACTTTTGTGTAAGACGTATGTGGCCTTTTCTGGCAGGTTCCTATCCCCCTTTTATGCCCCCAGGCGGACCCCATGGCCTGCCAGCGGAGATCCCTCCAGCCAGTTACAGCAACGGAATCCTCCACAACAATATTTCCCCAAATCCCGCCATTGGCAACTACCACCGACCTCTTTTCGATCCTCACCCCCCAGCGATGAGGCCCGGGGCAGGCATGGGAGGAATCCCCGGGGGAAAGCCGTAAGTTCCTATTCTCTTCTTGTAAATTCATGTTGAGGTTTTCATATATACCAATCAGTTTTACAAATTGATTTATAATGATTATGTATGTACTAGAATTGTTTCCTTTACTGGGTTTTATATCTAGTATCACTTTTAGGGACCTAAGATGGTTTTGGAAGGAAGACATGTGGGTCAGTTAAATAAGTTATGACAAGGATTTGTCTCGATTATTTTGTAAAAAGTAATAAATCACTATCTAAAAAGACCAGCATGTCAATTGTAATACATTGCAAATTGAATGTAGAAATGAATTGTGTTAGTATAAAACCCCTTTACCTTCACACAGTTAAATTTGAATGCTGTACCGGTATTGGCTGGCAAGGGATTATCTTAATTGACATGTATATTATGGAACTGTCTAGCAAAATTCTCATCATCTATAGTTTCTACCTCAGACATTTTTATTGCTACAGATAAATTGGTTGTAACCATGCATATTCATTATTGTTCAACGTATTTAGCAATTCAATAGGTGCACATTAAAGTCAAGGAAATCAATATTTGGCAATATAATTTTCTGGGAAAGTCACTATGGGATATTTTTCTTAGAACAACATAAAAATGAAATAAAAGATAATGTATTTAACCACGGTATAGAAAACAATCTCCCCAGAATACCATGGCAGTGAGACTTTCGTCACTGGTGATAGAAGCGTTCCATGTCTGTATTATATTAACGCTTAGATAAATAGAAATTGAAATAATAGAGGAACATCGCGATAAAGGATGATCATGTGTCATCAACGACTTTGTTCTTAAAATATTTTAGCACGAAGATTGGGTACTTGACCATTTTTTTTCTGGATATTTTTATTCGTTTTATGTACTGGTCGTCAATCTTCTGTAATGGACGTTATTTTTTTTATGTTTCCTGGGAGATAGTCATGCATAAAAACCATTACAGTTGATGCCCTTTTTTAAAATCACATGCAACAGAGGCGTTAGGCTTTTTACTGGTAAAATGTTTCCGTGCTTTCAGGACAGTGTTTTTTAGTAGTACTATGTTTCTGTGTTTTCTTCCAGAGCATATTCCTTCCACGTTAGTGTTGACGGCCAGATGCAGCCTGTGCCGTTTCCACCAGATGCCCTGATTGGTCAGGGCATCCCACGCCATGCTAGGCAGATCAACACACTGAACCATGGGGAGGTGGTGTGTGCTGTCACTATTAGTAATCCCACAAGACATGTCTACACCGGAGGCAAGGCAAGTGTCACCGCCCTGGTAGTGGCATATCATAACGAGTCATTAGACTGCTTTTTCCAAGTCTAATTTCGATGAATTGAAAGTGCTTTCATTGAAGACAAAAGTACAACATTTTTGTATCTTATTTCTAATGTTGGCTACATTTGTACAAGAATATTGATTGACTTTGCCCAATTAGTTCACATTAACTATTCAACATTGCTTAGATAAAAAATAATGACTGCTGGTAAAATCACAAATTGTGGTGTTCATTGGTGAGGAAATTTAGTTTACCATTTGTGCAGATATAAATCATTTATTGACGGAAATAGATTTTTTATGATTATTATTAGTTTGTATTCTATTTACTTTTAGTCTCTGTATTTGTATATAAGAGTGTTGGTAAGTGTTAAGACTTGTTGGGTAGTGATCAGACTTGTTTGGTAGTGATCAGACTTGGTGGGTAGTGATCAGACTTGTTGGGTAGTGGTCAGACTTGGTGGGTAGTGATCAGACTTGGTGGGTAGTGATCAGACTTGTTTGGTGGTGATCAGACTTGTTGGGTAGTGTTTAGACTTGTTGGGTAGTGATCAGACTTGTTTGGTAGTGATCAGACTTGGTGGGTAGTGATCAGACTTGTTGGGTAGTGGTCAGACTTGTTGGGTAGTGATCAGACTTGGTGGGTAGTGATCAGACTTGTTGGGTGGTGATCAGACTTGTTGGGTAGTGTTTAGACTTGGTGGGTAGTGATCAGACTTGTTGGGTGGTGATCAGACTTGGTGGGTAGTGATCAGACTTGTTGGGTAGTGATCAGACTTGATGGGTAGTGATCAGACTTGGTGGGTAGTGATCAGACTTGTTTGGTTGTGTTTAGACTTTGTGGGTAGTGATCAGACTTGTTTGGTTGTGTTTAGACTTGGTGGGTAGTGTTTAGACATAGTGTGTAGTGTTTAGACCTGTTGAGTAGTGTTTAGACTTGGAAGTATTTAGATTTGGTTGGGTAGTGATCATACTTGGTGGGGAGTGATCAAACTTGTTGGGTAGTGATCAGACTTGTTTGGTTGTGTTTAGACTTGTTGGGTAGTGTTTAGACTTGGTGGGTAGTGATCAGACTTGGTGGGTAGTGATCAGACTTGTTTGGTTGTGTTTAGACTTGATGGGTAGTGTTTAGACTTGGTGGGTAGTGATCAGACTTGTTGGGTAGTGATCAGACTTGTTGGGTAGTGATCAGACTTGTTGGGTAGTGATCAGACTTGTTGGGTAGTGTTTAGACTTGGTGGGTAGTGATCAGACTTGTTGGGTAGTGTTTAGACTTGTTGGGTAGTGATCAGACTTGTTGGGTAGTGATCAGACTTGGTGGGTAGTGATCAGACTTGTTGGGTAGTGATCAGACTTGTTTGGTTGTGTTTAGACTTGTTGGGTAGTGTTTAGACTTGGTGGGTAGTGATCAGACTTGGTGGGTAGTGATCAGACTTGTTTGGTTGTGTTTAGACTTGATGGGTAGTGTTCAGACTTGGTGGGTAGTGATCAGACTTGTTGGGTAGTGATCAGACTTGTTGGGTAGTGGTCAGACTTGTTGGGTAGTGATCGGACTTGGTGGGTAGTGATCAGACTTGGTGGGTAGTGATCAGACTTGGTGGGTAGTGATCAGACTTGTTGGGTAGTGGTCAGACTTGGTGGGTAGTGTTTAGACTTGGTGGGTAGTGATCAGACTTGTTGGGTAGTGATCAGACTTGGTGGGTTGGTGGGTAGTGATCAGACTTGTTGGGTAGTGATTAGACTTGGTGGGTAGTGATCAGACTTGTTGGGTAGTGATCAGACTTGTTGGGTAGTGATCAGACTTGTTGGGTAGTGATCAGACTTGTTGGGTAGTGATCAGACTTGTTGGGTAGTGATCAGACTTGTTGGGTAGTGATCAGACTTGTTGGGTAGTGATCAGACTTGTTGGGTAGTGATCAGACTTGTTGGGTAGTGATCAGACTTGTTGGGTAGTGATCAGACTTGTTTGGTTGTGTTTAGACTTGGTGGGTAGTGATCAGACTTGTTGGGTAGTGTTTAGACTTGTTGGGTAGTGATCAGACTTGTTGGGTAGTGTTTAGACTTGTTGGGTAGTGATCAGACTTGTTGGGTAGTGATCAGACTTGTTGGGTAGTGTTTAGACTTGGTGGGTAGTGATCAGACTTGTTGGGTAGTGTTTAGACTTGTTGGGTAGTGTTTAGACTTGTTGGATAGTGTTTAGACTTGGTGGGTAGTGTTTAGACTTGGTGGGTAGTGATCAGACTTGTTGGATAGTGTCTAGACTTGGTAGAAATGTTTAGACTAGGTTTTGACTTGTCTTATAAATATATGTTTGGTTGTGTTTTTTACAGGGATGTGTAAAGGTGTGGGATATAAGCCAGCCTGGAAACAAGAGTCCCATTTCACAGTTAGACTGTCTGGTATGTACATTATTTTTCATCCTTCCCTCACTCATATCTGTCATCTTACTTATCTCTCTCCATCACTCATAACTCTGTCATCTTACTCATCTCTCTCCCTCACTCATAGCTCTGTCATCTTACTCATCTCTCTCCCTCACTCATAGCTCTGTCATCTTACTCATCTCTCTCCTTCACTCCTAGCTCTGTCATCTTACTCATCTCTCTCCCTCACACATAGCTCTGTCATCTTACTCATCTCTCTCCCTCACACATAGCTCTGTCATCTCTCTCTCCCTCACTCCTAGCTCTGTCATCTTACTCATCTCTCTCCCTCACACATAGCTCTGTCATCTTACTCATCTCTCTCCCTCACACATAGCTCTGTCATCTTACTCATCTCTCTCCCTCACTCCTAGCTCTGTCATCTTACTCATCTCTCTCCCTCACACATAGCTCTGTCATCTTACTCATCTCTCTCCCTCACTCATAGCTCTGTCATCTTACTCATCTCTCTCCTTCACTCCTAGCTCTGTCATCTTACTCATCTCTCTCCCTCACACATAGCTCTGTCATCTTACTCATCTCTCTCCCTCACTCATAGCTCTGTCATCTTACTCATCTCTCTCCTTCACTCCTAGCTCTTTCATCTTACTCATCTCTCTCCCTCACTCATAGCTTTGACATGTTACTCATCTCTCTCCCTCACTCATAGCTCGGCCATCTTTCTCATCTCTCTCCCTCCTATCACTTTCTTCCTGCTTGTCTTTCTATAACTTACAAACGGTTGGTTTACTATTTATGTGTAATTATGACTGGTGTTTTAGTTTGAATGACTTCAAGTTAACAACAAAGAAAGAAATGTCAAGATTATGAGAAATGTATGGCATTATAAAACCTATTCAAAAAGAACATTTTTCTTGATGATAAATATCTACAATTAAAACATGATGTGCTGTTTATTGGAATAAACATAGAAGTGTCTGCAAAAGTCAGAAGCAACTAATTTATTTCGTAAATTGAGGAATTCTTTGACAACCGGAAGTTATTTGTTACCTGAAAAAGTAGAAGTTCTGTATCTATGTGTAGATTTATAACAGTAAAGAAATTACAATTTATTGAAAAATAATTGCCTTAACTCTTGCCAAGAAAATTATTTCACTTGGCAAGTGAACTTGCAATGATAGATATTCATTTCAAGTTTTTGCAAATTTATAAAATGTTTATATTTTCAATTCTCCCGATGTATGATTAAGGAGAATTGATAGACACCTGGTATTTCAAACTTATCTTTGAGAAAAGTTGTGCAAATGAGTCAATATGTTTTATTCAGAAGAAATTTTGAGGTAACATGAAGTGATTTATTGCTCCTAAATATTAGGGGTATTCAGTAGCATATCAGTCATTTTGTTTTCTGTTACTTATTTAACAAGTTAACTCAGACCGTTTTATTTAAGTTAGAAAGTCTATTAATATAATAGTGATGAAAATGCTTGAATATGTAAAAGAAAGCTTGATATCATTTTTTTTTCTACATTCATTTGAATTCCCTGTATTTATTGATAACTGTTGTTATTTAAAAAATTTAATAATCAGAATTTCATATGAAAATTTAAACATTTAAACTGCCACTCAAAGTACTTACAGGTCAAAATGCCAATAAAAGTTTATTGCTAAGTACAATAAAATTTTATTTGTTCATTTTGGTAAATTAGCAGATAAATTGAACAGCAAATCTCATTTAAACGTACCAAAAAATAAATAAATCTGTTTAATTTTTTTTCTCGTTTGCAAATATTGATTTAAGATGTTTCATGTTTGATATGGTGATGATGATCAGTTATTTTGTTCCATCATAGTAATGTCTTACTTCCTTGTTGTTTCACCCCTCCACCCCCTTTTTACTTAATGAGCGACTGGTGAATAGCTTTGTCCAATCAATCCACTGATTCCCCCACTTAATCATTGACTCATGAATAGCTTTGTCCAAACAATCCACTGATTCCCCCACTTAATCATTGACTCATGAATAGCTTTGTCCAAACAATCCACTGATTCCCCCACTTAATCATTGACTCATGAATAGCTTTGTCCAAACAATCCACTGATTCCCCCACTTAATCATTGACTCATGAATAGCTTTGTCCAAACAATCCACTGATTCCCCCACTTAATCATTGACTCATGAATAGCTTTGTCCAAACAATCCACTGATTCCCCCACTTAATCATTGACTCATGAATAGCTTTGTCCAAACAATTACCATTTTTCTTTACTTTGGTACCAGATTCTCCTTTTAAAGTTGTTCAAATTGTAAACTACATTATAGGTAAGAAAAGGGTGCACACATATGAAACTGAAGTGGTTTCCTAAGATGGCTTCCGCACCAACAAAAACACTGACTTCCTTGTCTATCCTTGATGTACTCTGTAAATGCTGGGCAACAGTCATGTCCTCTAAATGGGCCATCCTGCATAGTGCATAGATATAAAAACTAAATTTATCATTTGAGCAGCTTAGGTATTGGCTAGAAAAGATGGAACAGTATCACAGCATGGTAGATTTTTCTAGATAATAATCTGTCATTCAGTGAAGCAGAAAGCTTGGAGAAAGATGAAGGAGAAATGACTTGATTACATGCAAAGTCCCTCGTTCATTTTCAGCAAAGAGATAACTATATAAGATCCATTAAGCTTCTTCAAGATGGGAGGACATTAATCGTTGGAGGGGAAGCCAGTACTTTATCCATATGGGACCTAGCCGCAGTGAGTATTTCTTAATTACTATGTAGTACATGAACGGGTAATTATTTATAGCAGGCAATACAGGTAACTAAGACATAAACTATATGATATAACTGTCAATATATTTACTGGTAACCACACAGTGCTTCTGTACAGGTAACTGCCTTTATGTACACAGGTAGTTAATATTATATACAGGTAGCTACCATTATATATAATTAACTACCTTTATATATACAGGTAGCTACCATTATATATAGTTAACTACCTTTATGTATACAGAATACTATCATTATATAAAGTTAACTATCTTTATATATACAGATAACTACCTTTATGTATACAGAATACTATCATTATATAAAGGTAACAATCTTTATATATACAGGTAACTACCTTTATGTATACAGAATACTATCATTATATAAAGGTAACAATCTTTATATATACAAATAACTACCTTTATATATACTATCATTATATAAAGGTAACAATCTTTATATATACAGATAACTACCTTTATGTATACAGAATACTATAATTATATAAAGTTAACTATCTTTATATATACAGATAACTACCTTTATGTATACAGAATACTATAATTATATAAAGGTAACAATCTTTATATATACAGGTAACTACATTTAGGTATACTGGTAGCTACCATTAGATACAGGTAACTATCTTTATGCATGGTAGCTACCATTAGATACAGGCAACTACCTTTATGCATACAGGTTATAGCCTTTATATAATTACAGCACCATTACAGGTAATTACCTTTATATATACAAGTAATTACCTTTACATAATTACAGGTAACCTTTATATATTCAGGAAACTGCCTTCATACATAGGTAAAACTACCTTTCTACATACAGTAAACTTCCTGTTAGTATACAGGTAAACTGCCATGACATAGGTAAATCCCTTCATGGTACTCTAGGCAGTAGACCTACTTATTAAGTACAGGATGCTGTTGGTTGTTATGTCGACTGACCTTTGTAGTGTGTCTGGCTTTGTAACAGCCAATCTGGTGTGTGAAGAAGGGTGGACTGTATGTAGACAATCTAAGTTGTTAACACAGTATTGATTGGTTGATTAGACCATGTGGCAGTCTGTGTCATGACAAAGACGGCCTGCGTGTCACGACATTTCTTAGTGACTGCACTCGGCTAAAGTGACTTCAGGCATTTGTGTTTTGGATCAAGTGATTTAGCAGCAGTGATCAGTAATTTTGCTCTAAATTTGGTATGTGTTGTTGCGTGTTTGAAGCTGTTAGATGCTCGTCTCCATATATAGGGATGGTGTTGCTAATGTAGTAAGTGCAACAAGGTTTGCACTTGTGAGTTAAATAAGATGGCAATAAAGGTCAACAAGAGTTTTCTTTTTCTTTAAGATAGACTTCCTGGTAACTTGAAATGAAAGTGTCGATAGATGGTACCACAAGTGGTTTGAGGGGACAGAACTATGTATAGGGCACAAGGGGTGGTAGGGAACAGGATCACTCTAAAGTTTCTTCACTGTTTGAATTTGAGGGGACCGAACTGTAAATAAGCTAAAAAGGGTCTGGTTCTCTGCTATGTTTTGCAACTTTTGATTATAATTTTAATTTTTCGTTTGCAGCCAACCCCTCGCATTAAAGCAGAGCTGACCTCAAGTGCGCCTGCATGTTACGCTCTGGCCATTAGTCCAGACTCCAAAGTCTGCTTCAGCTGTTGTAGTGATGGTAACATTGCAGTCTGGGACCTTCATAATCAGACCCTTGTCAGGTAAAATAATATTTCATTTGTCTTGGGATATGTCTGGACCTGTGGCATGAATTCTGTTAGAAATTTGAAATAGAAAAAAATTATGATGTTTATTGTCTTGAATTCAACATGTTTGCACTCTCTATAATGCTGATTCAGTATTTGTCATCAGGTTTGTACTATATTCTGAAATTGATAAGGAAGTGTATCCTTTTTTCATTTCAGACAATTCCAAGGCCACACAGATGGAGCAAGTTGTATAGATATATCTCCAGATGGTACAAAACTATGGACTGGAGGGCTGGACAATACAGTCAGGTCATGGGACCTTAGAGAGGTAAGAATAAAGGTCACTGGATAAAGAGGTCATAGGGTACAGATTTAGAGGACACAGGGTAAAGAGGTCATTGAGTACAGATTTAGAGAAGGACACTGGGTAAAGAGGTCATTGGATACAGATATAGAGGTTATTGGGTACAGAGGTCATTGGATACAGATATAGAGGTTACTGGGTACAGATTTAGAGGACACTGGGTAAAGAGGTCATTGGATACAGACATAGAGGTTACTGGGTACCGATATAGAGGTCACTGGGTACAGATTTAGAAGACACTGAGGAAAGAGGTTATTGGTCAAGTTTAGGGGTCAATAGGAAATTACAAATCGTTGAGACAGGTTTGCAAGGGTCAGAAGTCACTTGGTACAAGTTCAGAGGTCAAAAGGTACTTACAGATCGTTGGACACATTTGCTTGGGTCAGAAGTCACTTGGTACAAGTTCAGGGGTCAATAGGTACTTACAAATCATTGGACACATTTGCATGGGTCAGAGGTCAGTGGGTACATCTGGATGTAGCATTTCTAAACAAAAAGTCTTTCATTAAAAAGTTTATCTTTAGATCAAAGGGTGGAAATTAGGTGGTTCTACACTTAATGATTTGTCAGACGTTTTGTGTTAGTGTTATATTAAATATTGTATGTGAACATATGATTTCAAGAAATCCACAGCATTTTTCTGTTTATTTTGTTTTTTCAGGGAAGACAATTACAACAGCATGACTTTAGTTCACAGATATTCTCTCTGGGATACTGTCCCACGGGCGAGTGGCTGGCCGTTGGGTATGTATTTCATTTTATGTTCCCAAAACCCTGACTTGTACGATATATACAAGAAGAATCTATTGAAATTGGTGTTATACATTACACCTTTAGTCAGGTGTTACACCCAACCCGCTGGACTTAATACCAGGTATATACAGTATGAGTGTATAATCAGTGTTATACCATCTGTTGCAGTATGGAGAGCAGTAATGTTGAAGTGTTACACTGCAGTAAACCAGACAAGTATCAGCTACACCTCCATGAAAGTTGTGTCCTGTCACTCAAGTTTGCATACTGTGGCAAGTGGTTTGTCAGTACAGGCAAGGACAACCTCCTCAATGCATGGCGCACTCCCTATGGTGCTAGTATCTTCCAGGTAAGTAGTTCAACCACAATGACTGTTACATCCCTTACTACCTTCATGTGATCTGGATGTTAAATTCAGCATTGATTTTACAGACTACAAATATTGAGATGTAAAAGCTTTGATGTAAGGTTTAAAATATGTAAGCTGGGATCTGAACGGTTTATTTGTTGTGTATAGGAATATGTAGGCTTGGCTCAGAAATATGTGGGATTTGATGCAGGATGTTGAATGTGAGGGCTTTGATGTAAGGTGGAGGAATATGTAGGCTGGAATCTGAAGTGTAAAGGCTTTGATGTAAGGTGGAGGAATATGTAAGCTGGAATTTGAAGTGTAAAAGCTTTGATGTAAGGTGTAAGAATTAATTGGCTGGAATCTGAAGAGTAAAGGCTTTGATGTAAGGTGTAAGAATTAATTGGCTGGAATCTGAAGTGTAAAGGCTTTGATGTAAGGTGTAAGAATTAATTGGCTGGAATCTGAAGAGTAAAGGCTTTGATGTAAGGTGTAAGAAAGTGCAGGCTGGAATCTGAAGTGTAAAGGCTTTGATGTAAGGTGGAGGAATATGTAGGCTGGAATCTGAAGTGTAAAGGCTTTGATGTAAGGTGTAAGAATTAATTGGCAGGAATCTGAAGTGTAAAGGCTTTGATGTAAGGTGTAAGAATTAATTGGCTTGAATCTGAAGAGTAAAGGCTTTGATGTAAGGTGTAAGAATTAATTGGCTGGAATCTGAAGTGTAAAGGCTTTGATGTAAGGTGGAGGAATATGTAGGCTGGAATCTGAAGTGTAAAAGCTTTGATGTAAGGTGTAAGAATTAATTGGCTGGAATCTGAAGAGTAAAGGCTTTGATGTAAGGTGTAAGAAAGTGAAGGCTGGAATCTGAAGTGTAAAGGCTTTGATGTAAGGTGGAGGAATATGTAGGCTGGAATCTGAAGTGTAAAGGCTTTGATGTAAGGTGTAAGAATTAATTGGCTGGAATCTGAAGAGTAAAGGCTTTGATGTAAGGTGTAAGAATGTGAAGGCTGGAATCTGAAGTGTAAAGGCTTTGATGTAAGGTGGAGGAATATGTAGGCTGGAATCTGAAGTGTAAAAGCTTTGATGTAAGGTGTAAGAATTAATTGGCTGGAATCTGAAGAGTAAAGGCTTTGATGTAAGGTGTAAGAATGTGAAGGCTGGAATCTGAAGAGTAAAGGCTTTGATGTAAGGTGTAAGAATTAATTGGCTGGAATCTGAAGTGTAAAGGCTTTGATGTAAGGTGTAAGAATGTGAAGGCTGGAATCTGAAGTGTAAAGGCTTTGATGTAAGGTGAAGGAATATGTAGGCTGGAATCTGAAGAGTAAAGGCTTTGATGTAAGGTGTAAGAATTAATTGGCTGGAATCTGAAGTGTAAAGGCTTTGATGTAAGGTGGAGGAATATGTAGGCTGGAATCTGAAGTGTAAAATCTTTGATGTAAGGTGTAAGAATTAATTGGCTGGAATCTGAAGAGTAAAGGCTTTGATGTAAGGTGTAAGAATGTGAATTGGCTGGAATCTGAAGAGTAAAGGCTTTGATGTAAGGTGTAAGAATGTAAGGCTGGAATCTGAAGAGTAAAGGCTTTGATGTAAAGTGTAAGAATTAATTGGCTGGAATCTGAAGTGTAAAATCTTTGATGTAAGGTGTAAGAATTAATTGGCTGGAATCTGAAGAGTAAAGGCTTTGATGTAAGGTGTAAGAATGTGAAGGCTGGAATCTGAAGTGTAAAGGCTTTGATGTAAGGTGGAGGAATATGTAGGCTGGAATCTGAAGTGTAAAATCTTTGATGTAAGGTGTAAGAATTAATTGGCTGGAATCTGAAGTGTAAAAGCTTTGATGTAAGGTGTAAGAATTAATTGGCTGGAATCTGAAGAGTAAAGGCTTTGATGTAAGGTGTAAGAATGTGAAGGCTGGAATCTGAAGTGTAAAGGATTGGATTTTATGTCTTAGATAGAGGCAAAGTTCAGAGGTCAAGGCTTTGATAAATAATGTTAGATTATAGATTAACGTAGGGGTAAGTATTCTTTATATAAGGAGTAGACTAGGATTTGTAATGAAATCTGGGATCTCATTTAAAAGCCAAGATTTCATGTACGACCCACCACATGGTTCGACTTACAAAGTAAAGATACAGACAGAGCAGCTGTCACATGTTCTACACATCATTGTTTTATGCTTCATTTCACACTTTAGATACTTGTAAGTAGGACATCTATTCCAGAGAAATGGCATCTGTACAAAGACTTTGTGACAAAAGGTGCTCTGTGTAGAGTCTGTTGCCTTAGAATTGAATGATTTTGAAAGACATTAGACAAAAGAAATTACATGCATAACAAGAAAAGATAGAATTTTCAGGGAGAAAAAGTACAGATCCTTCATTCATAAATATATGTTTGGTGAAGGATAATTTTTACATGATTATTTGAGTAGTGTGTTCACGCCATAACCTTACACAGCTGTCCTGGGTATTGAGATTTAATCAAAACAGAACTGGGGGACTCAAGGTTAATACCTTAATGATTAGCCACTCCAGGTTAGTTTCAAAAATTGAGAAAATTTACCAACATGCTTAGACACTGGGGAGTAGCATCTATCATAATTTGTATGTAGCTCTGAGAAACGAAGGGCTGGCAAATAAGTCTATGGAAACCAGGCATTCCTAATGGGAAGTCGAGTGCTTTTCACTTGGTTTTAAACATATGTACAGTCATAGAAGTTTTTAAAATCATAATTGTTTGTAATAGATTAGACAGCTTTATGAAAGCCTTTTGGATCGAGAAATGAGATTGTAGTTTGATATTTATTTTCATGCAGACAAAATCTTGAAGAAATTGGCATTTTATCAATGGAGAATCCCTAGTATTTACCATATGTTTGTGATATGGCCTCTCTATTTGTCGGTTTCAATGATCTCGGTTGAGAATTACCAGAAGTATATGTTTTGAGGTACATAAGAATTAGGTAATTTTAGATGACCTAGGATCAGGAAAAGACATGTAAAGTGATATTTTTCCAAGATTAGATGATGTGTAATACTTCAAGATAACATCAGATTGTGACCTTACTTTGATTAAAAAAAAGACAATATTGAAATAGTGGAGAAACCTTTTACCTCTTCTCTGTAATATATTGTGGATTTTTCTGAAACAGGAATTTTCTCTTGGAAGATATGTAGTGTTACAGCCTAAAGCATTTGGAAAGCAAATTTTTAAGTGTTAGCAAATGGAAACATCACCTAAATGTTCTGTAGAGGCTGGGTGATTTCACAAGGATGTTAAATTCCTAACATTGTGGGATTAAACCAAAATAAAGATTTGTTATATATATTATCTGTATATACAGCCTGATATTAAGTTAATTATCTGGATTTGGTAATCCTGCGAAAAATTGAACATGTCGCTGGCAACAAGTACCTGATGTGATATTTCTGCTTGGGGGAAATATTAATGCATGATATCTAGGTGTCATGTAAGTATGACATCTCGCATGTAAAATGAAAATTTCAATTATCAGATAAATATCGAAACAATACATTTACAACTTTTCGATACTATTTATATCTTTCCACCCTTGCATGTTTCAGTCAAAGGAATCCTCGTCAGTGTTAAGCTGTGACATATCTACGGATGACAAATACATCGTGACGGGTTCGGGTGACAAAAAGGCTACGCTGTACGAAGTTATATTTTAAATGACACACTTTCGTGTCACACAGATCTCCTAGGCCACCACAAGTGTTTCACTGAGCATACCCGAACTCTTAGTGAAATCCAATGTTCACTTCAAGTTGGATATATGTAAGCTCGTCACTGATTGGTGGAAACCTATATTGTATTCTGAAAGGACAGAATTCGGATGTAAATGTTTTAAGAAAGACACCAGCAGGGCTATGAAATAGACCAATGGAACTGTACGTATCAGTGCATGGTGACATTTCACAACCAACAGAAGAGGCAAATTAGCTTCTTTGGGCATCCGACCTAAGAAATCCATTTCCTGGTGAACACTATGTGTTAACAAGTTAAAAAACAATTTTTTCCCTTGTATTTCTTGATGTGGATTAAATGTTGAATGGCAGATTTCATGTGGAAGCAGTTTTTGTGGTAACTAAGTAATTGCCAAGGCAATAGACAAACCTGCTACAGAGTGCTATAATTACCTCATCAACATAAGTGTAGACGGGAGGAACCCTAGCACTGAGTATGAACACAATTAGACAGAGTCATCTTGCCCAAACTTAGTCCCTGTGATTCAAAATTTTGATCAAATGTGTGTAAATATTTTAGACAATTTTACCCCATTGTTTTCATTTACTTTTTTTTCTCCAGCAAAAAAAGTATATATATAAGTATATAAAGACCTTGATGTGAAAAACAATTGTGTATGGCAATTTTGATTTTGACCTTGTATGTTTCCACAAGGTCACTAGATTGAGACAGTGAAATGGATTGTGTTGTGATTCTTGTGGAAGTGTAAGAGGTTTTATGACTGATACTGGATGGTGCATTGAATCATATTGATGTTTTTTGATGATTAAGGCATAACTTATGACAACAGGTGTACTGTTGTAACTAATGACAACAGGTGTACTGTTGTAACTAATAGCAACAGGTGTACTTTTGTAACTAATGACAACAGGTGTACTGTTGTAACTAATGACAACAGGTGTACTGTTGTAACTAATGGCAACAGGTGTACTGTTGTAACTAATGGCAACAGGTGTACTGTTGTAACTAATGACAACAGGTGTACTGTTGTAACTAATGGCAACAGGTGTACTGTTGTAACTGATGACAACAGGCGTACTGTTGTAACTGATGACAACAGGCGTACTGTTGTAACTGATGACAACAGGCGTACTGTTGTAACTGATGGCAACAGGCGTACTGTTGTAACTGATGACAACAGGCGTACTGTTGTAACTGATGACAACAGGCGTACTGTTGTAACTGATGGCAACAGGCGTACTGTTGTAACTGATGGCAACAGGCGTACTGTTGTAACTGATGGCAACAGGCGTACTGTTGTAACTGATGGCAACAGGCGTACTGTTGTAACTGATGGCAACAGGCGTACTGTTGTAGCTAATGACAACAGTTATACTGTCGTAACTAATAACAACAGGCGTACTGTCGTAACTAATGACAACAGTTATACTGTCGTAACTAATAACAACAGGCGTACTGTCGTAACTAATGACAACAGTTATACTGTCGTAACTAATAACAACTGGTGTACTGTTGTAACTAATGACAACAGTTATACTATTGTAACTAATAACAACTGGTGTACTGTTGTAACTAATGACAACAGTTATACTGTTGTAACTAATAACAACTGGTGTACTGTTGATATACACATTATGACCTAGACTTATTATGATTCATCAATTACTTTTTTTTCTCATTCTACCGGGGAAAAAATTGAGCAGCACTTTCTCTTTTGAACAAGTCCTGGTCCAAATGATAACTACAGGCCGCTTTGAAGCTATTTTCATTCTTGTTGAAATTGTCATCCCAATATATGGAAAATCAGGTAGAATAATTGTTTGCGATGTATTTTGTCAATGTTGTTGTCACAAGTTTTTCTCCTAGTATTTTTTTTATGGATAGACAACACTCCTCTCAGGTCATAGTCCTCTAAGGGACACAACACTGTATGCATGCCCATTTGAGAATCCCATCTGATTTAGAATCATGTTTTAAATTTGTTCATTGACTTTCTCTTTTTGATCAAATTTCTTAGCTCTGCTGTGAACAATAAAATTGTAGCCAGAGGGCATGAAGTATCCCCATAAAGAATCACCTTATTGTGTGTTCACTGAATATATGAATTGGGGAGGAATGATCTTTGGCTCATGTTGTCATGTAACCTGAATGAACACTATTGTTTTATAATGATATGTTCGCTGGGTTTTTATGAACATGAATCTTTATGAGGTTCAGATTGAACATGAGTTCTGATCATGCCCTCAAGTTTGTATATATACCAAATGTATGTGAACTTCACCAGTTAAATTCACATGAAGAATAAAAGAGACCATGTGTTCAGTGTTCACATGCTGTGCATGCACACAAAAAACCTGCAATAATGATCATCTGCACTCCTGTATCCCATCATGTGCACTAGACCTGAAAAGTCAACCAGCATGCATGTTTCAGCCATGAGAAACAACACAAAATCACATCTGTCATAATTTCCATCAGCAGTACTGACCATCTAAGAAATGGTCCTGGAAATTGGTTAATTGAGAAATAAACATTGTTGCTGAACCATGAATTTTTTTTACCAGACTGTAGAGCATGAAACTAAGAACATTGCACTGCCATGTGATTTCAATGTCTTAGATTTAAACAATTTATTAAGGATTTCTTTAAATGTACCATGGGCTTCATTCCTCGAAATCCAGGATTTCTTTTTAAGTGATAGTTAGGTAGTATACTAGTAAAGTGAAAGTAGATGAAAACAATATACCTCTGCCGGGGCCTACTAATGACAGTCCCATCTCATATCCATTGTTGTAAAAGAATTGTACTAGGTATAAATGTTGTGTAAATGGTGAGGAATGTATGTTTCTGTGCTAAGTGAAACCATATGTATAATATTAAAGTTTGTTTGGCAGGACTATGGGATATGTGTACCTGAACATTAGATGGATTAAATAGTATATATGTATAATATAAAAAAAAATGTATGACTGGGGTATGCTTGAGGGTATCTGTACATGTGTTGAAAATAGTCCAATTATCACCTCTCCCATTCATAGCAGATATTGTGCTTGTGGATTCTCATGTTCTCATCCCACACTTGGTGTTGATTGTCAGCTCAAGCTCAGAGCATAATAATGGTGGTGATGATGACACTGTATTACGTATATAAAACTATTTAGGAGAAATTTTTTCTCATCAAGGACATGGAAAGATGTGACATTTCTAGTCAATAAGTTCCCATTCACAAATGTCCAAGGGTATATCTTATCAACAGCTGTTGTACATAGGTCTGTCTGGTTAAATTCTTTCTGTTTGGAATGTAACCTTCTAGTAAAATTTTACTCAACATCAATTATCATTTGTCTGTTTGAAACTGTATGAAAAATTTTTATTCCATATTTTGTTATAATTAAGAAAAGGGGTATTTGGAAACAAGTTTGTTAAAAAAAATTGTCTATCCTTAATGCATTTTGTTCCGCTGTATTTCCATAAAGAAAGTTACCAGAAAATTTGTTTTGAAATTATTTTTAAATGAGGACATCTTTGTTTTCTATCATGGCAAATTTCTCACATTTCGTTAAAATAAGAATAATGGCAGCAAGATGCGTTCAGTAGGGTACTAGCACGTTTTTCTGGCATTTACTCTAAGGTATGTATAAACAGATAGTAGTTTAGATACAAATATACATTCCCCTAGATTGTGCACAACAAACAGTAGCATCATGTCAAACAGACAACTGATAGCTCCTCTCTATCTCAAGACTGGTTCTCTCCCTTTTGGTCCTCCCAACCTTACAGGTGGCACTTCATCTGCTGAAGTATCATTCATGCTGTGGTCATTGTCCCTTATCAGACAATCCAGTCGGCAGTGGCAAAGGTACATGGTGGGATTGAATTATCTCCAGTAGATGATGGCACCTGCTAAGAGGTCAATATCTGGAACTGTTTTTCACATGGTGTAATTCCTGTGTAAACTACTGCAGGTGTTACCATTGTTAAATATCAGATATTTCACATAGGTGGCAGCACTGAAGCATGTTGCAAAACTGGCAAGATCTGTTTTGAAGGGCAGGTTCTACAGATGATAGCACCATTTCTGTAGGACATGTTACATAAATGGCAGCACCGTCTCTGTAGGACATGTTACATAGATGGCAGCACCATCTCTGTAGGACAATGTTACATACATGTAGCTGGCAGCACCGTCTCTGTAGGACATGTTACATAGATGGCAGCACCATCTCTGTAGGACATGCTACTTAGATGACAGCACCATTTCTATGTGACATTCAACATAATTGTCAGTGCTTCATTGGTGTAGTGACTCTATAAAGGTCAAAGGTTATGAAAAATCAGCCTTTCTAATCCCAGTACAAGTGTTGCACTTTGACAGTTTCTATGTGGTGGGAAACTAGAGTTAGGGCCCTTGTATTTGTGGGCAGGTTTGAGAGACAGTCTAGAAACAACAAGTAGATATGATACCCTGTTGAAATTGTTATAACTATTCTCTATTTTTGTAATTAAAAGTTTACAAAAACAACTATGTCTGCAATTTTCATTAATCTTGAATGACCTGGAAGAAATGAATAACATGCGCTTTTCCGATTAATAGGAATCGCCACCATCAACATTCACAATTACTGAACTATTTCAATTAATATTGTAGTTATTTGCAAATAAAAGCAAGAAATGAAATCAGATGTAATGCTATTGTAGAACCAAGGAGGACACTGTTTTACATCAGGACCATATACATGTTCATTATGCAAGAACTTTTGGGGCTATCCCTTGAAATCTCTCCTGACAGTGATATCTAGTACACCCACAAAATATCAGATTATCTTGGAAACTTTGAGTATGACCATCAAATCATACAGAATTATCCTACAGGCCACGTAACGATGCAGATTATCTTACTGACCATCAAAAGATACAGATTATATTACTGACCATCAAATGATACAGATTATATTACTGACCACCAAATGATACAGATTATATTACTGACCACCAAATGATACACATTATATTACTGACCACCAAATGATACACATTATATTACTGACCACCAAATGATACAGATTATATGACCGACCACCAAATGATCAAGATTATATTAATGCCCACGAAATGATACAGACTATATTACTTACCAGTAAATAATACAGCATTATATTACTAACCACGAAATGATACAGATTATATTACAGACCATCAAATGATGCAGGATTATATTACTGACCACCAAATGATACAAATGATATTATTGACCACCAAATGATACAGGATTATATTACTGACCACCAAATGATGCAGATTATATTACTGACCACCAAATGATACAGATTATATTACTGACCACCAAATGATACAAATGATATTATTGACCACCAAATGATACAGGATTATATTACTGACCACCAAATGATACAGGATTATATTACTGACCACCAAATTATACAGGATTATATTACTGACCACCAAATGATATAGATTATATTACTGACCACCAAATAATACATAATTATATTACTGACCATCAGATGATACCGGATTATATTATTGACCACCAAATGATACAAATTATATAGCTGACCACGAAATGATACAGATTATATTACTGACCACCTAATGATACAGATTATATTACTGACCACCAAATGATACAGATTATATTACTGACCATGAAATGATACAGGATTATATTACTGACCACCAAATGATAAAGATTATATTACTGACCACCAAATGATATAGATTATATTACTGACCACCAAATGATATAGATTATATTACTGACCACCAAATGAAACAGATTATATTACTGACCACCAAATGATACATGATTATATTATTGACCACCAAATGATACAAATTATATAACTGACCACGAAATTATACACATTATATTACTGACCAGTAAATAATAAAGGATTATATTACTGACCACCAAATGATACAGATTATATTACTGACCATCAAATAATGCAGGATTATATTACTGACCACCAAATGATGCAGATTATATTACTGACCACCAAATGATACAGATTGTATTACTGACCACCAAATGATACAAATGATATTATTGACCACCAAATGATACAGGATTATATTACTGACCACCAAATGATGCAGATTATATTACTGACCATCAAATGATACAGGATTATATTACTGACCACCAAATGATACAGATTATATATATTCATACAGATAATATAACCACCATCAGATGATACCGGATTATATTATTGACCACCAAATGATAATATATGACCACCAAATGATATAGATTATATTACTGACCACCAAATGATATAGATTATATTACTGACAACCAAATAATACAAAATTATATTACTGACCACCAAATGATACAGATTATATTACTGACCAGTAAATAATACAAAATTATATTACTGACCACCAAATGATACAGATTATATTACTGACCACCAAATAATACATGATTATATTACTGACCACCAAATGATACAGATTATATTACTGACCACCAAATGATACAGATTATATTACAGATTATATTATTACTGACCACCAAATGATACAGATTATATTACTGACCACCAAATGATACACCAGTATTATATTACTGACCATCAATTGATAAATGATATACTGACCAGTAAATAATACAGATTATATTACTGACCACCAAATGATACACATTATATTACTGATTATATTACTGACCACCAAATGAAATATATACAGGATTATATTACTGACCACCAAATGATACAGATTATATTACTGACCAGTAAATGATACAGATTATATTACTGACCACCAAATGATACAGATTATATTACTGACCACCAAATAATACAGATATTACTGACCATATTATACAGATTATATTACTGACCAGTAAATGATACAGATTATATTACTGACCATCAAATGATACAGATTATATTACTGACCACCAATACACATTATATTACTGACCACCAAATGATACACATTATATTACTGACCAGTAAATAATACAAGATTATATTACTGACCACCAAATGATACAGATTATATTACTGACCAGTAAATAATACAGATTATATTACTGACCACCAAATGATACAGATTATATTACTGACCATCAAATGATACAGATTATATTACTGACCACCAAATAATGATACACCACCAAATGATACATTATATTACTGACCACCAAATAATACAGATTATATTACTGACCATCAAATGATACAGATTATATTACTGACCACCAAATGATACAGATTATATTACTGACCACCAAATGATACTGATTATATTACTGACCACCAAATGATACAGATTATATTACTGACCACCAAATGATACAGATTATATTACTGACCACCAAATGATACAGATTATATTACAGACCATCAAATGATGCAGGATTATATTACTGACCATCAATTGATACACATTATATTACTGACCACCAAATGATACACATTATATTACTGACCAGTAAATAATACAAGATGATATTACTGACCACCAAATGATACCGATTATATTACTGACCAGTAAATAATACAGATTATATTACTGACCATCAATTGATACAGATGATATTACTGACCAGTAAATAATACAGATTATATTACTGACCATCAATTGATACACATTATATTACTGACCACCAAATGATACACATTATATTACTGACCAGTAAATAATACAAGATTATATTACTGACCAGTAAATAATACAGATTATATTACTGACCATCAATTGATACAGATGATATTACTGACCAGTAAATAATACAGGATTATATTACTGATCACCAAATGATACACATTATATTACTGACCAGTAAATAATACAGGATTATATTACTGACCACCAAATGATACAGGATTATATTACTGACCAGTAAATAATACAGATTATATTACTGACCACCAAATGATACAGGATTATATTACTGACCAGTAAATAATACAGATTATATTACTGACCACCAAATGATACAGGATTATATTATTGACCACCAAATAATACAGGATTATATTACTGACCAGTAAATGATACAGGATTATATTACTGACCAGTAAATAATACGGATTATATTACTGACCACCAAATGATACAGGATTATATTACTGACCATCAATTGATACACATTATATTACTGACCACCAAATGATACACATTATATTACTGACCAGTAAATAATACAGGATTATATTACTGACCACCAAATGATACAGGATTATATTACTGACCAGTAAATAATACAAGATTATATTACTGACCAGTAAATAATACAGGATTATATTATTGACCACCAAATGATACAGGATTATATTATTGACCACCAAATGATACAGGATTATATTATTGACCACCAAATGATACAGGATTATATTATTGACCACCAAATGATACAGGATTATATTACTGACCAGTAAATAATACAGGATTATATTATTGACCACCTAATGATACAGGATTATATTACTGACCACCAAATGATACAGGATTATATTACTGACCACCAAATGATACACATTATCTTACTACAAGATTGTCTTCTCAGGATACATGGTTATCAGGACGATAAAGACCGCCAAAACATGAATTGTCATACAAATAACCACCAGGAATCTGAAGTTTGATTTCTGTCTTTAGGGACATTAGTAATATACCACATGCCCGTTGGAAGCACGTTACTCACCAAGATCACTTCATTAACCTGACGTAGCTAGTCCCGACCAAATTTCACCAAAAGTAGCGCTGGACAATGACTTTATCATACTTAATTCTCCGTCAATTTGGCGGGCACCTTCTCAACTCATGTAATATTAATCTCTGACTGGCCATTCTCGAACCTAGTGCTAAGTAGAGACAATTTCTTTCTGAAATGTGTAAAATATGTATGCATTGATGACTTAGGTATTCCACTGAGCAGTTCGATATATTTGGCCTTGTCGGAGAATCTGGTCATACATCTCTGTATGGCTGTAGTTTTCAGTGTTTTGGATGGAAATATCAAAAATGGAACTTTTAGCCAAATTTATTGAATACAAAATATTTTGCTTTAAATTCATTCTGAAATTGGCATGAATTTGAAAGCAAATAATGTATTAGTACCTCAGGTTCTGTCACCGATTGTCTCGTGATGAAGAAGCCTATCTTTATTGATTGGCCAAGGTGCCTGTCGTCTCTTCAGATTGCAGGGAGAGTGTGCGTGGGTGGGTTGGATTGGGGCCCTCCCGTCTCTTGGGAAGGGGCTAAGTGGGCGTGTACTGTCGGTGGTTCTCTATCTCTTTACTGTATTATTGGTGGTTTCTTATCCCCTTACTGTACTGTTGGTGGTTCTCTATCCCCTTACTGTACTGTTGGTGGTTCCTTATTCCCTTACTGTACTGTCTGTGGTTCCCTATCCCCATACTGTACTGTCTGTGGTTCTCTATCCCCTGACTGTAGTGTCGGTGGTTCTCTATCCCCTGACTGTAATGTGTCGGTGGTTCTCTATCCCCTGACTGTAATGTCGGTGGTTCTCTATCCCCT